TGATTGCCTTCAATCGGCTTCAGCCCAAATACTAGCCGGTTTATAGTAAACATAGGAACAAGTACATCCAAACCACAGGAAAGATATGATAAGAAGGCATTCTGCAGGGAGTCAGCTTGTTGACCAACGGTTCAAATGAGTCGTTTGGAAGCCCCAAGTCATCGTGGACTAGCCGCGTTGCGGCAAGGGTTCAGATGCGGAGCAAGGAAGGACGTCCAGCTACATAGGCTAGAGTTGCAAGGCTTGTCAAAGGGCGTCTACGGCCAGAAAGAGCACAATGAAGATCTTGTAGCCGTAGGCGCCCCATCTGGACGGGACTACCTCTCGCGCCTAACCAAGATCATCTTGCCCAAGGTATTCAAGGTCCGGAGTCAGGCGCCCATGCAGAGACTGGATGGAATTTATTTTTACTCCGATACCAAAATTTCCACTCTGGTGTCCGTGGTGGGTGCTGTCCTGGGGGTGGGTGTGGTCAGAGGGCGAAGGTGGTGGTGGTGGCAGTGGTGCGAAAACAGGCGTTCCTTTCCCCGCATTGCGCAGTTAGTTTCCGAAGGGTGTTAGACCACTGACTTGGCCTGCTAGGTTCTTTGGGTTCCTTGCGCCATGCCATGCATGTATGTACTCTACTTACCGTACTTACTTACCCGAGAGGGTGCCCGCCTGCGCTCGTGCCCATAGCCATTCCCATATACATTTCTCTCCATCGGGGGGGGTGAAAGGCGGAACGACTGCGCACCACGGCCGTCATGAGCGACCGCAATAATGCAAGCGACACCATGAGCCCGCCAAACGACACGGGCGCCCATGCCAAACGCAAGAGCGACGAGGGCGGTCCGCAGCCACGGGCGAAGCGCAATCGCTATATTTCCATCGCATGGTACGTTTGCCATGTTGCCATGTTGCCAGTCGCAGAGAGCTGGCCTGGGAGTGGACGCGACGACCGGCTGACGGCAGCAACACAGCAATGAGTGCAAGAGACGAAAGATCAAGTGCAACGGACAGACGCCCTGTCAGCGCTGTGGAAACCTCAGCTTGGAGTGCTTGTATGCGCCGAATTGCTGCAACAACTTCAAGGAGTCGGATGAGTGCGCGCGCCCTCCTCCCATCCTGATCATGCCTCGTTCCATCGCTGATGACGCCTCGCGCACAGGTTCAAGCAAATGGATGCCCATATCAACCATCTCCAGCAGCAAGTCGACGACCTCTTCCACAGTCTCTCGAGTCTGCGGGCGCAGGTCGATGTGCAGAGTAATGGGTCGACAGGCACCCCCTTCAACCCCAACCCCCACGACTACCAGCCAGCGCCCATGCTGCCTCCGTCCTCTGCACGATCTCGCACAAAGTCGATGAGCAAGTACCCGCGCTTCCATGGCCCAACATCGAGCGCCTTCAACCTCGGCGTCGCCCGAAGCAGCCTCAAGACCATGGGCATCACGGGTGGCGAGGATGGCGAGGACGGCGAGGACGAGGGTGTTGCAACCCACGATGCGACCCCTAGACCCTCTCCACCCTTGTTGTCTCATCCGTCACTTGTGAAGCAGTCGCTGCATGTCGACAAGGATCCCATATGGTCCATCTCGAGACACGAGGCCATTCGATTGGTCAATGTGTGGTATGAAGAGCAAGGAGTCATGTATCCCATTCTGGAAATTGACAAGATACTGCGATATACCGAAATGCTCTTCTCGTTTGTAGAGGCTGCTGCCCGCTCCGGTCTTATGCAAAGTGCTCTACCTGGTGCGGATGCCATCATGGACCATCAGACGAGCGTGTTGAAACTAATCCTTGCCATTACCCTCGTCTTAGAGGGGAGAGGCAAAGATGCTCTTGGGGAGAGACTATTTGAAAACGTTCATAAAGTCGTGGAAAAGACGCTGTCTGATCCTGTGAGCCTGCATGGCATCAACCTCCTCGCACTCACAGTAAGTGGCCTCGGCGCTCGCTTTATCCATCTGCTTATATGAACAGGCAATGTACCACTTCACGCGCGACGACGAGGCCATGGCATGGCGAGTCATCGGATTGGCTGCACGTCATTGTCTAGAGCTCGGCCTGCATCGCCGGGAAACCTACGAGACTCTGTTCCCTGATCCCGAAGAGCAAGCGGCAGCCATTCGCACGTTCTGGTGCATATATGTCTTGGACCGGAGATGGAGCTTTGGCACGGGCATGCCCTTTGCTCTGCAGGATGCCGACATTGATGCCAATCTTCCCAAGCCAGTACGTTGTTCCGGAGGGTACAAAATGGCCAGCTTGCTGACAAGATCAGGATGTCTCGGCGCACGAGTCTACGCCATACCTCAATTCGATGATATCCTACAGTATCATTGGGTCCAAGGTCTGGAGGTCGGTGGCCGACGTCGCTTCGCAAGAAAAGATCAACAAGGACGACGTCTCGTTTCTCGACTTTCAAGTCCTCAACTGGCACAGAAGCATTCCCGAACCCCTCAAGTTTACCCATCCCGACAGCGGTATCCAGGTCGAGCCTCCCACCCGTACCATCCACCGTCTCCAAGTCGTTCTTTACCTCCGCGCAAATCAAATGCGCATTCTCATCTACCGACCCGTCCTGCACACCGCCACGACCATAATGGAAAATCTCGAATTCGCACACGTAGTCATCAAGGTGGCCAAGGACACCATCCGCATCCTAACCTACATCAACCAAACCTCGGACATTTACCGCAGCCAGCAAACCATGTTCAACTATTTCCTCATCTCCGCCCTCGCCGTCCTCTTCCTCGCCGTTGCACACGCCCCCGCCGAATTCAGCCAACAGTCACGCGATGAGTTCTACATGGCCCTCGAGCTCGTTCGCGGCCTCAGCTCCAACTCGTACGTCAGCAAACGGCTGTGGAAAACTATCAAGACGCTCAAGGAAGTCGGGCCCAGTCTCGGCCTCGCCATCCACAACAATAATAACAACAGCAATCACGCCTCGCACACTGACCGCGACGCGCATTCTTCGGCCGCCGTGGCCATGGCGGGGTTGGCGGGCCACCAGGTCGATGAGATGGCGCTGTATGCGAATGGCAGGAATGGAGGCACGAATCTGGATACGCCGCATGGAATGGCGAGTGATTTGACCACGCTGTTTGAGGCGGCGGGGGGCACGTTTCAATTGAATGGGTTTGGGCATGGTGCTGGTGCTGGTACGGATATACGGGAAGGGGTGGGGACTGGAGGAGGCGGCGATTTTGCGCACGCGTTTGGGCATGAGAATGAAGAGTTGGCGAAGATTATGAGGGATTTGTTTTGAGAGCATCATGGTCGGGTGATTTGTTTGTATTTATTCTTTGGGCAGGGTATGAAGAAGCCATGATGATGTGTTGTGGAGAGTTGCGACCAGGTAAAACCCCTCGGTCTAGAAAGCACCGCCTAGTCCAAATCAACGCCATGGTCTTTCTGTCTTGATGTGGAATACCCCATACTCCTAAATGTGAAATAGCCCATACCCCTAAGCTAGCAAGAAGTAAACCGGGGTCTTCGGATGGATTCTCCCTCCCCTCTCCACCCCTCTTCACTCCACTCTCCTCTTCACACTGCGCCCTTGCTCTTGCCCACCCATACCGCTAACAACATCCTGCACCAACTCCCTCAACTCCCTCTGCACCTCGTCCGACTCGTAATCCGGCCGCGCAGCCAGCTCTTCAATGCGCCGCCGGATTTCCGGGTCTGGCGCATCCGCAGCATCTTCCTCCATGGTCCCCATGTTGATCCTCACACCCTCTGGCAGCGGCGGAGGAGGCGCATGTCCAGCAACCTCACCATCAGCAGCCTCGGCCTCAATCTCACCACCAGCACCAGCACCAGCACCAGCCTCCCCACCACCCAACCTCCTCGCCCTCAAATACCGCACCACCTCATGCCCAGGCCCCTCCTCCTCTCCAATCCTCTCCTCCGCCGTCCTCCCCTCCCCATTCCTCCACCCAATATCCGCGCCCAACTCCTCCACCAGACACCGCGCCACCTCTACTTTCTCCGCCGCGAACAGCGCCGTCTCGCCGTCCTCGTCCACTAGGTCGACGTCGACGGCGTGGGTCTGCACGAGGGTGCGCAGCACGTCTAGTTCGTTGTAGGAGGCCGCGGCGTGTACGAGCGAGTAGCCGTGGGTGTCGCGCGCGGAGGCGAGGTGCGGGTGCTGGGTTAGGGTGGAGAGGATGGCGTGTGGGCGGGTGTCGATTAGGGTGAGGAGGAGGTCGATTGTGGGGGGTGGGAGGGTCATTGTGTATGTGTGTGTGTGAATTGGTTGTATGGATGGTTGTAAACTGGGACGTATGAAGTTTCAGGTTTTGATGCTATGGCTTTGTTGGGTAGTCTTTGGCTACCATCCGTCTGTGTATAGACTTCCTGCCTTTCTGTCTGTGCCTTTCACCCTCACCAGGCCCTGGCAATCTCGAAATGACGTGTGCGGAGACTTTTTACTGTTTTTTTTTTTTTTTAGCGCGGCGGCACATCACGCCGCGGGAGATTGGCCAAAAACGCGCGTCAAAGAGATTCGCCATGGAAAGATGTACAAGAAAGATGTCCATACTACGCCCTGTGTTGATCCTGTCATGCCATGGCCGTGCATTCTATTTTCGATTTCTTGGAGATGGGGGCCCTGGAGTCCGCAGCAGCGACTTACTCTGTACGTACAACAATGCCGTGTGTCCTGCATGTCCATGACGGCGCAATAGGCTTGCACGGCTTGGTGGTTCGCAGTGGCGGACCAAGGCCACTGGGATGCGCCGAAAATCACCGGACGAGCGCCAACTGAGACGCATGCCGACAAAACAGTCAACTTTCTTTTGCCCTCGGACTTCACTTCACACAGCGCCTCAGCAGGGGAGGAGACGTCAGATCGGCCTTGGCGAATGTCTTCGTGGCCCTCGATGGTCTCCAGTCGCCTCCACTTTCCGCTGAACGCCCCCCCACAGCCCCCTGTGGGTGATCGATTCCTTGATCTTCCTACTTTCCCCTCCGATGAACAGTCCAAGTGCCCAGTACTGCTACTCTAGAATCCATCGTCTTCTTGTTACTCTAGCGCAGGCCGTTTCTTTGTGAGGACGGAGCATACGTCAACAGGACCACCGCAGCAACCAACCAGCCATCCACACGAGGCTATACCGCATTCGGCCCTATTATCTTTACGCGCTGCGCTCGGCTACCTGTCAGCTCCTCGACTTTTGCAACTGGCTGGCTATCTAATAAGCTCTCTCTCTACCTTGGAACCGCTCGTGTCCGGCTTTTGGGCCTTGACTTCACCTCACTTTTCGCCTTCACTTTCGTCATTCTAGCCTTGCTGTCTCGAGCATCACGTTAGCTGCCAACATGAGGAGTTTCAGGGGCATAAGTATGCCGTCGGTGCGCCTCGTCACTTCGTATATATTCGACTGGGTCGTCATCATGTAAGTTCGCCGGCCACGGTAGCGCCACAGTAGAGTTTCTCCATGTGTACACACAGTCACCGGACATCGTCACTCGACCACAATCCAACATGAGGTTCGCGACAACAGCTGACCGGTTACAGCGCGATAGCAGCAGTGGGTGCTGGCTGGGAATTCGTCGATCCCTTCAATCGCCCTTTCTCGCCAGTCGATCTCTCCATCTCCTACCCTTACCAAGAGTCTGAAATGATACCGACATGGCTCCTCGCCGTCGTCGCCCTCATTGCGCCCGCCGCCATCATCTTCCTCGTCTGTCTCCTGCTCGTCCCTGGCCCGACGGCTGAGCGCGGAACACCCATGTCGCTCATCTGGAGGCGCAAACTGTGGGAGTGGAACACGGGCTGGATGGGTCTCGCCCTTTCGCTCGCAACCGCCTTCATGATCACCCAGGGCATGAAGAATCTCTTTGGCAAGCCCCGTCCAGATCTGCTGTCTCGCTGCGAACCAGATCTCCAACGCCTCCAGGAGTTTGCCATTGGAGGCATTGTTGGAGACTCGTTGAATCCAAATTGGGTGCTCGTCACGTCGAAGATTTGTACCACGGACGATGCCGATAAACTCAAAGACGGCTTCAAATCGTTTCCTAGTGGTCATGCTAGCTGTAAGCCTCTTTCCTTGTCCCCTCTTTTCCACCGTCCAGGCTGACCTTTCCCCCTCTCGACAGTTTCCTGGGCAGGCCTCCTCTACTTGACCCTCTTCCTCGCCTCCAAATTCTCCGTCGCAATCCCCCACCTCTCTCCACGCCCGTACTCCCAAAACCCAGCCTACACCTCGGCCGTCGCCCCCTCGAATCTCAGGAAACAAACCCTCTCCTTCAACAAGCACGACTCCTACCCCACCGAAGAAGCCGTCGTCCCCATGCGCTACCAAAACGCGGCACCACCCGTCTGGACCATCGTCCTCGTCCTCGTCCCCGTCGCCGCCGCCATTTACATCTCCAGCACGCGCTTCACAGACTTCCGCCACTTTGGCTTCGACCTCTTGTTCGGTAGCCTCATCGGCATCACCTGTGCGTGGTTCAGCTTCCGCCTCTACCACCTACCCGTCACGCGCGGTGCGGGCTGGGCGTGGGGCCCCAGGAGCTATGAGCGTGCCTGGGGTATTGGTGTCGGTCGCGGCTCCTACGTTGGCCCCGAGGGCTGGAGCAAGAAGGATAGGCCGGATGCGAGGGCCGGCGCCGCGAATGGGGTTACGGAGAGTGAGCATGAGCTTGTGGATGGATCGGAGTTTATGGGTCATCATCAGCAGCAGTATCAGATGAATGGGGCGGGCAGTGCTCAGAGGAGGGTGGATGTGCCGCATCTCGGGCCGGGACAGGCGGTTTAGAATGTGTGAATTTGACCTATTTTTTTTCCAATTTTTTTTAAAGGGTGGGATTGGGATGGGATTGGGATGAGATGCGGTGTTTGTTCGGTGTTGGCGTGCTTTTTATACCAAGTTTGCCCTTTTACATTCTACAATGGACGATTATCATCATGCGAGTACTTGTATAATCGTCGAAGGAATTTCTTTGAAAAATCTACAGGGATGCATTCCATCCAAGATCAAGATTCGGCATGCCAGGCAAACCAAGCCCATACTCCCCAAGCACCCAGCAGCCACTCGCCCACAAACCCTCAAAAGTACCTCACCCTCCCTACAACTTCGACGAGCCCCCCTCCCCCCTCCCCCTCGCAAAACGCTTAACCAACATCCTAACCCCCAAATCCAACATGACATCCTCACTCCCCCCCGGGATCCGTATCCCAGGCACCTCCCTCCAAATCCGCTCCACCAGCTCACCCCGCCCACTCCGCGTATACCCATTCCCACCCAACAACAGCATCGCCACCTGAGCACACTCATGCAACACGATGCCCGCCTGGGCCTTTAGCAGAGCCGTCGGACCACCCAGCAGCACGGCGGCACGGTCCGGCGCCAGCAGCGTTTGCTGGTAGACAAAGGCGTCGAGCCAGGCGGAGAGGGATTCGAGTTGGGCGCCGGCGCGGGCGAGGCGGTGCCGGATTACGGGTTGGGTGATTAGGGGGGCGGAGAAGGCGTGCCGGGTTAGGGTGTAGGAGAGGGCGGTGGAGAGGGCGACGCGGGATTGACGGGTTGCGCCGATGGCAATGGTGAGGCGTTCGTGGTTGAAGTTTGTCATGCTGGGGGGATGGGGTTAGTGGGGGTTTTTGTTTCTTTTGGGGGGGATTTTTTTTCCCTGGGGGTATGGGGTAGGGATGGGGATGAGAGGAGAGGGAAAAGGGGACAAACATGTATTTCATACCCATGCCCTCCTCTCCAATCAAATTCTCAACAGGAACCATCACGTCGTCCAGCTCGATAAACGTAGTCCCAGCCGATACCTGGCCCCCAACTTTCAACCGCCGCATCTTAACACCCGGATACCCCTTGAGCGGGACAACCAGCAGCGACAGCCCCTGTGCCCCCGGCCCACCCGTCCGCACAGCCATGGTGCTGTACGCGCTCCAAATTCCATTCGTAATCCACTTCTTCGTCCCATTGACGACGTAGTGTTTCCCGTCTGCGGTCTTGACCGCCGTAGTCGCAATGTTGGCCACGTCGGAGCCGGCATCGGGTTCGGTAATGGCGATGCAGGTGCGCTTTTTGCCCGTGAGGAGGTCGGGCAGGAAACGTTCTTGGAGTTGGGGGGATCCGTAGTTGAGGAGTGGGGGCACGGCAAAGGACATGCCTGTTGTGAGGGAGCCCGAGGGGCCGGCGAGACCGGTTCGTGCCATCTATGGGGTCTTGGTGTTAGTTGTACTCTTTTTGTTTGGAGAGAGTACAGATGGGCTTTTGAATGTTATCCAAAACCCAACAATGGGAAGCCAACCTCATCTGCATATATCATGCCATGCAAACAGTCCCACTCCTCTACCCCCACCACCCCGAGAATATCCTTCACTCCCAACCTCTTCAACCACTCTACTGGCAACGGTGCCGGCAAGCTTGGTACCAACATGTTGGCCCGCGCAAACGTCTCAAACACATGCTCGGGTAATGTCTCCGCAGTGTCCCATTCGAGCGCTTGCGGGAGGAGGTGTTCTTCAATAAAGGCCCGGCACGCCTTTTGCCAGCGTATGTGCGTGGGCTTGTGGTAGGGGGAGGGAAGGCCGCTGAGGTAGGGGGGTTCGGAGAAGGGAATGGGGTTTGGGGGTGGGGAGGGCGGGGTGGTCATGGCTGTTGTCGGGGGTTGGGGGAGAGGTGGTGGTGGATGAGTTGGTTGAAAGGAGGATATGGGTTGGGGGAGCGATAGGGCTCTGCTTTGGGTGGAGGAGCTACATGATGCCGATGTTGGTGATGTGCCGGTTATAAAGCTGGGAATGTGGAGGGGGAGCGTGAAGGTGGAGGTGGAGTCTGTGGAAGTGTATAGCCGAACCGAGGTCGCTCGACACATGTTGAATCGCATCTTGACATTTGGAACTGCATGGCTGATAGTCAGCGTGGCCACTCGACACGATAGTGATTGTTCAACAATTGCAGCAAATGACACAACCGAGCCCATAGTGATACTTCAATATCTCCCTATAAGGCTACCAGAGAACTGCCTACCAGCATCCGCGAGTACTGCGACTCGGCTATTCGAGTCGTCCACTCAATAGCACCTTACCCATCGCCCAACCCAAATTCATCTCCAACCACATCCATCAACTCCGCTATACGCTCAAATGTCTCTGTATCGTGTCTAGCAACACGTGAGGCCTTGAGCAACAGTGGATACAATCTTTGCAGATGCTTCCTGTGCCTAGACTTCACTCCAGGAGCATCAGGAATCGCTTGTGGTTCGCTCTTCAACTTTCCCAATTCTACCAGCACGAACAGCAGCTCTCGTACCTGTGAGTCAGGTGCAGGCATCCTGCCACGCAGAGGGTGATCGGCAATATACGTTTTGAGCGGGAGCGCAGTGCGCAAGATGAGATAAGGTGCAGCTGCCTGCGCAAGCTTGACGCGTTCCGGGCTGTTGTCGTGTACTGCGACCAGGCTGAATAGCTCGGATATGCAGAAATAGCTCATTTCGCTTCTTAGTGTCGATACCAGTTCAGTGGTTTGTCCGAGTCGTATGTTGTAGAGCTCATCCAGAGGTGAATGGCTTAGGTCGGGCAATTCCCCTAATAGCGGTGTATGGATGAGTGATGTTGAGAAAAGGTTACGAGTATAGGTCCTGCGTATATTATCTGGAATTGAAGTCGAGCCCAGTGGTAAAGTGATGAGATCACGAAGTTCTCTATAGGATTGTATATCGAATGCCTCGTCTTTTTCGAGAGATGGAGGAAGTTGGGCCGAAGCACCTAGTTGGGCCCGTGTCGTAGAGTACGCAATGTCGATTATGACAGCCCATATATCTTTGTTAGATTTGACATATGGTAGTCCACTGCCGAGTATGGCTATCGCGGTCGTTGTAGCCCTCTGCCACAAGGTTGGCGATTTGCCCTCGAGATGCCACACATACTTCTTGCTTATCGGAGTTGCCAGGCTACTCAATGCAGACGAGAAAGCTCCGCTTGTGTATAGGTCTTGGTCGTCGATATTTTCGACAGTGACCTTTTGCAGTAGCGTCATTGAAGCTTTCGACAGTGCGACAAAGGTTGGTCCGCGCTTGTCAGACTCTTCGTCGAATGACGTATAGGGTAGCAAGACAAAACGGCTCAAGAGCTGTATGAGATAACAATGCAGTTTGGAGTTCTCTGTCTTCACCATAGCCAGGCACTCCATGATTCGGCTCTGCAAAGATGTCATGCTATCCACATCGCTAGAGTAAGCAACGGGATCCGAGTCGATGACACAAGCCTCCAGAGCTGCAAGCATTGGTGGGAGCTCCACACCCAGTAAATTATCAGATATACGGTAGAGTGCAATGAACGCGTCAGCGTAAGAGACAAATGCCTCTTGATTGTTCTCAGTAGTGGCTTGCCATTTCTTGCGAGAGTCGAAGTAGCTTTTCCATACGCCAGCAGTTTTGAGCAGACAAGACTCATTCCATTTCGACTCAATGCTTGTATGTGACAGTACTCTGGTTAGAGTACCTAATACTGAAGCGGCTAATGCATGGGAGCCGCAATCAAAGTATTGCTGTAAATGATCCAGGAGTTCCGACCATGCATCGCTGACTTGGGAGGCATCGAGCTTTTCCATGTACGTCGTTTTCAGGATGCCTATGGTATGCAGTATGACTTTTGAGGTTTCTTCCCACTCTTTGGTCTCCTGTGTACTCCGTGATTTGCCCATGGTCCTACGCTGAACCTCCAGGTTGCTTTGCACCATCCCGAACAATACAACACGAAGGCACAGTAGCCACGCATCAGAAGATAGCTGCTCAACATAGTTTTCAAAAATCCGTTGCACAGTCTGAATAGCCGAATTTCGCACCTCTGCCCGATGGTCAATGGTCACAGCTGAGAGGTCTAAAAGGACCTGAAGCCACAAGGCCGCAATATGTCCTTCGAGGGAGCGGTCTGAGACTACTTTGCAGATTTCATCCTGCTGCTGAGTAGTCTCGAGCATGGTGACCAAAGTAGATAGGTCACCTCGGGATCGGAGGTAATCAGACACGTTCCAGAAGAACGTGATAGCCTGTAAAGTATCAGTGGATGGCCAAGAGCTATCTGCTTCCGACTCACGGTCAGCGACATGTTCAGGTCCTCTTGCTGTGAACAAAAATTGAGTAAGAGCTTCAGCAACGTCGAAAGACATTTGTCGGGTACAGCAGACATGAAATCAGAACATATGAGGTTCGTAGTCACAAAAGCAGATCGGGCTAGCGATCTTGATATGACCGTCACTGCGGATATCGAGTGCTGCGATCCATCTGCTGCTGCCACAGCGGTTTCACGGTCGGCGGGTATGTTAACATCTTTTGTCATGAAGACACTCGTCAAGCTGTCGATGACGGATCCCCAACCAGCCACCAAAGATTCACCGCACTGCTCAATCACACCCCTGAGTGCTTCAAGTGCTATATGGTGAACTTTGATGTCGGTATCATTGATGGCATCGCCATTGTCTGTCCTAGGGCGATGGAGAGATCCAATTTGTTCCTGCAGTGCAGCAAGCGCACGAGCTTGGATTGCCTCGCGGTGCTCGTCAGACATGGACATCTCCGCGATGTCTCTGACTGCCCGTGAGAGTATATCAGCCGCAAGTAGCCTTGTAGTTGTGGCCTTTTGGCTGTCTGAGGAGAAGCGCACAGTTGCTGTGACAAAGATTGTCCAGCCGCTTTCAGTCGGATCATACTGGGCAAGTCTACTCTCGTTCAAAGTAGCAAGATCACCGATCTTATTCAGTGCGAAAGCCGAGTCGCGCGAATTAGTTTCTGCGCCTGATGTCATACCCGACACACTCCCTAATCTACGTTGATGTAGGATTTGTGGGCGAGTCGATATCGTTGGCGGTCTTTCGCCACTCTCAGGTAAGGGAGCCCCATTGAGGAGCGAGCACAAAGCTTCCAAGACCTCAATGAATGATTCATTCGGGAAGTCTACCGTGCTCTCGAACAACCGCCGAGCGGCTGCCTGTACAGCTGAGGTCTCAGCGTCGAGTTTCTCAGCGCCTCCATCCGGATCCTGACGACCTCCAGGTCCCCCAGGTGTACGACTTGCGTTGTGATCTGAGAGCGCCATTACTAGATCAGCGACTTGCAGCGTTTCAAAGACAATGGACCAGGCAGACTGGAGCGTTGGCCCTAGTGCAATTGCCAAGTTGAGTAAAGCCCGTAAGCATAGTAAATTGCGAGAATTCAGCGTAGGTAGAGCTGCCTCATGTGATGGACGCTGACCTTTATCCACCGATAAGGAGGCTGCTTGGCTGACGAGACTGTCGACACTGAGTAGCGCTTTCGCATTAGCAAAGGCTCCAGGCCGTTCGTTCGGTCCAGCTTTGGTAGACGATGCGTTCACTAACAACAAGTTTGCAGGGACGGCGGCCTTGCCGAGGGTGGTAAGAAAGGCGTCACGAGGAGTAGATAGTCTGAGCAGTCCAGCTACTTGAGTAAACTTCTGTATAGCTCGCACAAGCGCACGATAATACTCATTGTCCAAGGCAGCGTTCAGAAAGGTCGAACATGTCGCAAGGACCGCAGGCCAGCATTCATTCACCATCGTGGATGATGTTTGCACATAGACGTAAGAGGAGTGTTCCTTTAGGTCAAGTGGGTTGACGGGAATAGTCTTTCTTCGAAATGATTGTGTTCTTGAGAGCCGACGGCCGCCAGTATTTGTTGATTCAGATTCTGTGTCGGCCTCGATTGCTTCGTCTCCTTTTGGTTTCTTCCTGTTCTTGCTTTCGTGGTGAACAGTAAGAGGGAGGACGAATTTAGCTAGACTCTCAGAGATGTTTGTGATACATGTAAGTACCAGGCTGTACACGTACGTATCTGGCAATGTTGGAGGATCTGACTTGTCGAGGTGCTCTATGCAAGGAGTCTTCAGACTGCTCCACTGCATGCTAATCCCTAATGGCCGAGCGCCGCTGGAGCCATCAGCTACAGAGCCTCCTATAACGCCAGCAAGAGCGCCTGCTTCTACGACAGCCTGTTCAGAATTCCTACCATCGTCTATATTTGCAGTCGCCGTAGATTGTTGTCCAAGCCCAATGATGGCAGGTTTCTCAACCGCAAGTCGAACGAACGCTGCCAAATTATCTCCAAATACATTCTTTTTGCCGTCTTGTGCATCGAAGAGTGTGTAAATGGCGAGAAGCAGTCTTGAATCGGCGTAGATGCTGCGAAATACTTCTAAACAGAGTGCCCGCTTCCACAACTGTGAGGCCTCGGGGTCTAACATGTGGTTCAAAAGCCCGAGCGCGATCTCACATTCCGAGGGGAGAATGTTGAGATGATGTCGAATGATCATGTGTAATATTCGCATGATTCGCACAGTTACTGGAAATGAAAGACGGTCGGACAGCGAACGTATAATCAGGGGCATAAGTTGACTGCGAAGGAGGTAGACCTGCTCGGTATGGGTAGTCATGACTTTGTAATGGTTGGATAGTACTGCCTCTATCAATTCCAAAGTTGATGATGGTGGGAGCGATGAGAACCTCATGAATTTTGGCTTGTCTCCCATCACAAGTAGAACTAGGTCATTAAACATCTGTACATGTCAGAATTCTCAGATCAAGGAACAGTGTACATATGGATGAGCTACCTTGTAAGCATCGTTGGCTGCTGGCCGCAAGGAAACTTGGCCATCGTCTACTTTAACCTCGGCCACAGTGGGAATTTCCAGCGCCTTCTCTGCGTACCTGTCAGCCCTGAGTTCATCAAGCAAAGTAGGTTGGCATACCATCTTCGGAGGCGACTCTATCAAATACGCTGATGACTAGTTGTTGCAATGTCGCAGCTGCAGTATTGCTAACTGCGAAATTCTTTGCACTCTGTAGGCCGGAGCAGATATTCAACACTGTTGACAAGAGCTCTCCACGTATCTCTGCGGAGTAGTTCTGAAGTAGCGAAGGCAAAGCTTGGAGAATCTTCACCTGTATATCGTGACCTCCAGATGTCAGCGAGCGTCTGCAGACTTCCACTTGTCGAAATTCATACTTGATGAGGCCGACTCTCGAAAAGATTCAAGCACCTCGGTCAATCGTTCCCGGGGGAGTGAACGAGAGACGCAAAGTCTTTGGAGACATGATACGCCAGTCGATGCAAACTTAGCATTGCGAGTGCCACAAGCGATGAGAAAGGGTGAAATGAAGTGCGGACGCCTGGAGAGATCTTTGCGAGAGATTAGTGATGCATACAAAGAGTGGTGTTGATTTTGCTTGCCGGCAGAAAGTTGAGCCTCAGAAGTGTTCGCCAGTGACTTCAGGTCTTGTAAAGCCTTCTCTGCAGCATTCCGTAACTCGGTGTTCTTGCGCTTGGAGTCTTGAATGAGGTTACCCAATTCCGCGGCCAGGATTTGTGCTGTCATTCTCCAATGGTGGTGGGCCAGGAGGACATTGGGTCGGTATTCGCGAAAAAGAAGGACAATTTCAATTCGCGAATGATGTGATGTTGTGTCGAAGGAAAAGAGTCGGCCTGTCCTGGCTTGGTGGACTCAATCAATGTTCCAGATGTGAGTAAGGTAGGTAGGGTACGGTTCCAGATGTCACGTTGCGCTCGGAGGTCGGGCAACATTGAAGGGCAGAACCCAAGGCGGAGGAGGACCCCCACCCCGGCTGCCCAGATGTTCGTCATGGTGCCACGGTCTTGGCGGGACAGATCCCTCTACCTTCTTAGGTAAAGGCTACGGCTACGGCTACCTTGACAGACACTCCCAAGGTCGAGCCAGCACCTGCAGTCGCAATCGACGTAATCTCGCACCTGGAAATACACATGGCTGGTCACATGCTGCCACAAACCTCACAGTAGAATCTTCCACGGCCGCCACCTTCTCTCCCATTGCGCGTTAGGTACATCAACCATCCGCATCCACGACTCCATACGGTACCTCAATAGCGGGGTTCATCCCACCTCAAGCCTCACACTCTCGCCCCAGTCATCCCAGGCCACCTCACGATTTTGCAAACATGGGTGCCAAAGTACCCCGTAATTTTCGCCTGCTAGAGGAGCTGGAGAAGGGCGAGAAGGGTCTCGGTGCTGGTATGCAGGTCATGAATGTTGTTGTTGTCGAAAAAGTTGCTAAGAGTAGTCAGAGGCCTGCTCCTACGGTCTCGATAACGGGGACGATCTGTTGATGTCAGACTGGAATGGCACTATACTTGGACCACCTCATGTGCGTACCGACGTTGTATCTCTGGAAACTGCGCAAGTGGCTAATCGTGCCTATAGAGCGTTCACGAGAACCGCATTTACAGCGTCAGCCTCCACTGCGGCCCCAACTACCCTGATGTACCACCAGAGATCTCCTTCACCTCCAAGATCAACCTCCCCTGCGTGAATCCACAGAACGGAAAGGTAGATGTGAAACGCATTCAAAGAAAGGATTCCAGCTGACGCAACGCTAGGTCGATGCATCGAAGCTACCATGTCTAGCCCAGTGGAAGCGGGAATTTACTATGGAGACCATACTTATCGAGCTTCGACGGTTCGTCATGTGCAGCGCGCGACAAAGCCCTTCCTCACTAACAGTGTTCAGGTACATGGCTCTTCCTCAAAACAAGAAGCTTCCCCAGCCGCCTGAGGGTACGACGTTCTAGTCATGGCCGCAATGCCGCTCAGAGCACGGGAAGGATATCTATACATGACGAACGTTTCTTTGGAAGGTGACGAATATGCATTGGGAAGGAGTTCTGGTCCGACGGACTAGTGGAAGGAAATAGCAGGAAATCAATAACCCATCAAGATTGTTCTGTCCACTCCCTCACTACATTGTCTAGTCTAACCTGCAGCATGTCAGTGTTGTGAAAGCTGCTTCCGACACCAGAGAGCACTGGTAGTTATCACGATGACCCATTATCTGAGGTGATCTTCATACTGTTGGGCGCATAAGAATTACTGCATCGGTCATGATAGCCATCTGCGGGACGGTGTATAGCACAACACGTGATCATACGTCGAAGTTCAAAAGATTCTGCGACGACCCTGAAATGCGACCCTCTAATCTGATAATCGTCACCACCGTGCCCATTCCATGCATGCCCCGATTTCTGCAGCCTAAGAAGTCAACACAGCATCGTGTCGCAGGTCCGTAGGCTACAAACTCTAATATCCATGTAGTAATCGAGTGATAGCCTTTGCGTTGTACCGAGCTTTGCTCTCACGATGTTCCTCCACACCACTGGCAGATGACGACCGCACGTCTCTACGCAATGCAATTCGCAACAAATTTCGCAAGAACAGGAAAATAGAAAGTCCATACCAATTAGGTCTGAGCTTCAAAGCGGGCTATGAGGTATTACCACTCGTGTACAAACAAACTCTAGGGACCTCTCACTTATGCAATGCAGGCTCTCGACCATCTAGATGCATCTGCAACTGGCGTTGCTGCAAGTCTAGCATTCCTCCAGCGCATGATCTCCAGAATTCCCCCCCGCTTGAAGCGCACCTTCCAGCCGCGCCCTCGCAACCGTACGCCAGATCCACCCAAAGAGAGACTCGCAAGTCTACCCCCCGAACGCGCCGTCCTCAACGTGCGCCCCTACGCAAAGACGTCTGGCCCTCGACATGTCCCCATCCTCGCCAGCGCAAATGGCGTGCCATTTCTGCGCCTCACAAAGCCCCAACCGCCGGCTCTCAGCCGCGTGATCCGGCAGCGCTTGCAACGCAGGAACGATCTGTTCGATAGCAAGGTGTTGCTAGCAAACTGGTGGCTTCCATTGTCCCAACAGGAAGACAGGTGGGATATTATGATGAATGCGCAATTGGGCGAGGTCGGTGATGAGACGGGGTGGACGGAGGCGGTACAGATGGCTATACAGCAGAATGTTGTGGCGCATCATAAGGAACTTGTCAAGGATGCGGAGATGACGAAGAAGATGCAGAGGATTGTGGATTTGGAGACGGAGCTTGCGCTGGCGGAGGGGCAGACGATTATGAGAGGGAGGAAGAGAAGACCGCTGAGTGTAATCAAACCCAATTGATGGTCCTTTGAGATACCACCCATATACTCATGCTCTCGTTCAATCCACATGTTGCTTCCTATATGTACAATCTGAACTGAATATAGATTCGCCCAGTCCTACCCAACTCCCCCGTCACGAGGCCACCTCGGCAATCTTCAACTTTTGCAAATCCACCCCCTCATCCTCACTTTCGCTCTCATCCACCTTGCCCACCAAGCCTTGCTGCCACAGCTCCTTCCCTGTCAACTTTCTCTCCTCCTTGACAATCCTCTTTTTCTTATCCTCGGCCTCCTTCTCCTCCGCCACCCGCCTCGCCTCCTCCTCCATCTCCTTGCGAAACGCCTCCCTCCAGGCCAAAAAGCTCTCGCGCGTCACAGCCTCGCCCTGAAACTTTTTATTCTCGGCCTCTTCAATCTTGGCCGCTTCAATGCTGGCTTCGACTTCCTTTGCGTTTTGGCGCTCGGTGATGAGCGCTTCGGCCGCGTCTTTGAGCACGGTGACGAGGGTGAAGATCATGGGCATGCCGAGGTTTTCGTCAATGGTGCTGGTGAGAGAGGAGAGGAGACGGGCCTTGTCGTCTTGAATGTCGAGGTGGGGGTGTTTGCGGGTGTTGGGCGGTTGGGTTATGTCAAGGCGGGGGGCTTCTTCGGGGTAGGAAGGCGGGTATTGGACGTTGAGAATGATTTGGGCTGGCCATGGGGTTAGTATGGTGTTGTTGGATTGATTATGGGAATGGCGAGAGAGGTTTACGTTGCTCATCTTCGCGCTCTTCATCCTCATGTCGGCCATCGTCGAGTTGGACTAGGACTCGGAACTCTGTGTCGGAAACCCCTGTGGAAGATTGGCGTTAAGAGCAGGACATGGCCAAGTAAGTATGGGTGACATACATGTGATCTCCTCTGGAAAGATAGACTCGAGCACCTCGCGCTCCTCTTGCTGATCCTCAAGTCCCATTGCGAAAGGTAGTGGCGCTGTTGATGCACTGGCTACATGGTGTCGGCTGATGCTGAGGCTTCCCTGGTGGGGTGGATCTTTTCCCCCACCCCACGCTTAACTTAGCCCCCGAGCCGCCGATCCTGAAATAAATTTTGGATGAACGCATGCCCTTGGCTCTTGAAATCAACACATCACATCACATTGCAACTCTTAAAATGGCGAAAACAAAACCGGCAGATCGCAAGTCGAAGAAGAGCGCAAAGGCCAGCGCATCGAACGGAACGAAGAAGCCCAAGACGTCACCGCAAGACCTGCTAATACAAGCTGCGACGCTATTGCAAACCTCACAGCCAGAAGAAGCGCTTGTTGCTGCGAGAAGAGCATTGAATCTTCTCCAATCGGACTCGAAACCCACAGTAGCGGTACTTCCAGCGCTGAACTTGTTAGGAGAAATCAACGTCGAACTAGGCGACCCTGAGGCTGCGAAAGAGGCCTTCCAAGCCGCCATAGTAATCGACCCAGAAGGCGCAAACGATGGCGCCGAGAAGTTTCTATGGATGGCACAATTGAACGAAGAAGGGGGCGCAGAGAGCGTACGGTGGTTCCACAAAGGCATCCAAGTGCTCAAACGAGAAATGAGCGAGTTGGAGGGCAAGCTCGTCAAGAAGACTGAGACTGAGGAGTTGCTAGAGGAAAAGAGGCAGAAGATTGCAAACTCGTTATGTGGTATTGCAGAAGTCTACATGACTGATCTATCGTGGGAAGAAGATGCGGAAGCGCGATGCGACGCCGCTGTCACCGAGGCTCTGCTGGTTGCGCCAAATAACCCCGAGCCTTTGCAGACGCTGGCGTCTGTGCGGATATCTCAATTGCGACAAGACGACGCCAGATCTGCCTTGAAGAAAAGCATGGAGCTGTGGAAGGACCTGGACCCGGATGACCCCAAAGTGCCCGATTACTCGACGCGCATCAGCTTGTCTCGTCTGCTCATGGAGACTGAGATGGAGGACGAGGCTATTGAGGTCTTGGAGAGACTGGTGGGCGAGAACGATGGTAGTGTGGAAGCGTGGTACTTGGGCGGATGGTGTCTACATCTACTAGCTGGAAAGCAAAAGGTCAAAGGAGAGGACCAGGTTGCCACTTCGTTACTGCGCGCAAGTCGCGACTGGCTTGAGAATTGCCTCAAGCTGTACACTGTGATGGAGTACGAGGACGAAAGGTTGAAGGATCACGCCGAGGAGATATTAAAGGAGCTCAATGATGTCCTGGGACCGTCTGTTGAAGGAGAAGAAGAAGAGGAGGAGGAGGAAGAAGAGGACTGGGAAGATGATGACGCAGATGATGGTGAAGATGAGGATGCAGCTATGGATGGTACATGAACTGGCGACCGACGGCCATTGTTTGCGATCGCATGATGCATCACGATCGGGCGGCCCGATTAGCCACTCATCGGCTGTGGATATTGGAGACGCGATCCAACAAGGATCATGTCAGCCAGGTACAGCATCTAGATATGCTGGCCAGCAAGGCCGGGTGGAATCTGGGCGTGTTCGGGTGGTACCAGTTCGGGCTGTTGCTCAGCCAGAGATTGCAAGCTGAGCATCAAGAGACAGCTCGTTACGCCGTAGTGATGCCCAATGTTACAGCAGAAAGACGAGCCAGACTGGAGCTGTAGGTAGGCGAGTATTCAGGTTGATGTAGAACCCATCCACATGGAGTCTGTTGCAGGTTGGATGCATGTCAGACACTGACCAGACCCTGTAGCCATGATATATATGCATGTAGGTAGGTATATATGTACCTATATGAAGATCTCCGCCAGGATCTAAGTTGGTATACCTACCTACCTACTCTACCATACATACAGTATGCACCTCCTTATAGCAATGACGACCTTGCGAGGGGTGGACCCGACGTGGAGGTTCTCACATGCCTTGGGAATCCTTCCCGAGTGACACGCGAATCTTGCCGCTCGCTTCTGCATGCATATTTGTTTCCTTTTTGATCGGCTTGAGAGCCTCGCCGACCTGGTGAAGATTGTGGGTATGACAGGTTGCAGTGTTCTCCCGTGGCTGCAGTCTGATCGAGATGGGGAGGGGACAGTGGGCGCCCTTTGCCATTCACCATTCGCCATTTTTCCACTTCGCCTTTTGCCATTTGGTGTTGTAGGGGAAGGTGCAGCGCATTGGGCGTGGCAGGCTTGCGGTGGCAGTATCGCCATCCACGTCCATGCGGCAGACCTTGCCCATGTTTCGTGGTTTTGTAGTCACACACACGTGCATGCGGATAATCCGATATGCGGTGCGAGACATGGAACTGCCCCCTTGGCGACGACCACACCCTGGCACACACACACACACACACACACCTACTGGCACACACCCAACTGGCACGTCTCCGCCATGGTTGCGCCACGAATACTTGGACTATCATGCTCGATCCTGCCGCCGGCCCATTTGCATGTGCGCCATGCCCGTCTGCCGCCGTTTACCTAGTTCGAGTCCAGTCGCGCCGGCCATTGAAGATCCCTCCCCCCAGAGCCCCCGGAAACCAAGAAACGCAGAGCCCAGAGCCCGCAAGTCGTGCCTTGGCTCGCCCAACGACGCCGCGCCTCTGTCTCTGTATCTGCGACGGTGACTGCGACGGTGACTGTGACGGTGACTGCGACTGCAACTGCCTTTGCACCTGCTCCTGCGGCGCCCACCCCGACAGATGATTGAGCCGCCCTTTCACCTGCACCATAGATATCGTCACCGTCCTAGGCGGCGCAAAGACTCTCCACACCCCCACCTCTGTGTCTGGACATGCCCTGAGAGAGGCATTGCGGCGCCGAATGATCTGGTTGCTCCTCTATCCACTGCGTGGGTAAGTAACCTTGAGGAAACCTTGGCCCTTTCCCTTGAAACACACGCATAACTGCTCGGTACTGGAACCACCTGTCTTACTGTTCAATGCTGACAATAAACTTTGCAGAGAGAGTGAGCCGCCAAAGCTTGCGGCCTCGCACCCCATCCGCCGCGCTTTCCAGGCTTACGGCACTGCGACGGCTCGGCACTGGCTGATCTCCATTGTCCTCTTCATCGTCCTCTCCTTCCTCCTCTGCTACCAGGCCATCTTCCAGGCCGACAGCGCTGCCGGCGCGGGGCTGCGCAACTTGCCCAAGCATGTCTGGACCTCCACCACCGAGATAGAGGGTAAGCGGCCCGCCGACGTCGTCGTGCGCCAGGTCTGGGTCTACGGCGACTACATGAAGGCAATTGACCTGCCTGTCCTCGAGGAAGCGTTGCTCGTCCAGGAAGTCCTCATAGGCACTGGCTTCGAGATGAATCGCAGTGAAGGCCTCACAACGCAACAAACGCTGATCCACGATCATGCCCATCCACAATGCATCGCAAATGCAGCAGGTCAGGGCTGGGGCTGGCATTCGCCATTGATGTATTGGGATTGCTCGCTTCGCGCGTTGCAAGGCGACTTAGACTTGCTAGCCACCATCAATGCAAATCAAAAGATGCAGACCGCGCTCAATCTAACACTGCGCCCCAGTACCGTGTTCGCGGGCAAGACCTTCTCAAACAGCAAGCTTCGTGCTGCGGATGCGCTCGTCATCACCTGGTTCGACTATAGCAATTCAAGTCTTGGAGAATTGTGGAATTCCCGGACAAGTGCGCTTCCTCACCATCTCTCGCCAGGCTGGACCATGTTTCCACTTGATGGCCAGGTTGTCGACGATCGACTTTATGAATTTCGTTTTTGGCCCATGTCGTACAGCGACGACTTGCTTCTGCTCGCCTCCTATCTGGCCACTGCAGGATATGTAATACTGAGAATGACGCAGCTACGTGCTGTAAAGAGTTGGTTCGGTCTACTGGTCACCATATCAGCCAAAGTATGACAAATCCATCAACCGACAGCTCCCCTCACTTATTTTTCTCCAGATGACCATTTGCATAATTGCTAGTTTCTCCTTGTGTACATATATTGGCATCGATTTGTCGCGCATACCCCGGCCATGGTTTCCTACGGTAGTTTTTTGTTTTGGGCTTGGGAACATGTACGTGACAAGATCATCACTCTTAGAATTCGTTTTTGACTAGCTACAGATTTCGTTTAATTAACGTCGTCTTGGAGACTGCTCCAGAGATGCCTCCGCCCCAGCGCATTGGGCATGCCATTGGCCAAATCGGTCATCTCTCTACCGCCATTGCCTTCCAAAACATCGCTGGGCTATACCTACTCTCACGATATGTCACACCTTGGGTTGCAGACTTTTGCATTTTCACAGCAGTAACGCTAGTCTTCGACTTTGTCTTCCACCTCACCTTCTTCGTTGCTGTCTTGAGCGTGGACGTGCAACGAATGGAGCTGTCAGATTCGCTAGAGCGCCTCGCTCACAGTCAAGCCACGAAGAAGAAGCACACAGAACAACAATCATGGCTCGCTAGGTTACCAACGAGCACTCGCTTCGCAGGATCGATTGGGTCTTTCTCCGTCATCTTGGCTCTCAATTGGCACTACCTGAACAGCAACGGCAAGAAGTTGTCATTTCATAACATCCCTCAGAGGTTCGTTTCAACAACAAGGCAGAAAGCTGCCGACACTGTCTGGAACCAGCCGCCGATTAACCAAGCCAGAACTCCTGCCGACTGGCTAAGACTTCAGGACCATAACACGGCCCGGGAGCTCTTCAGCTTCATTAAGCCTGGTGCTCAAAGCTTTGTAGCTCGTATATACGATCCGCTTCTCGTCATCCCGAAAGGAGCGCAAGGAAGGGATGGCCCGCAGCCACCGACCTCTCTTCCCGAAGCTTTTCGTCGTTTTGCGCACGCACACGCATTTCCCGCAGCTTTAATTCTTGCCTTTCTGATCGCTGGTGTAACTCTGCTAATGAACTATCTACTCTGGACAGGTCTAACGGAAAATGCAGTCGATGCCGAAGACGAGGAGTCCATGTTCTCAGTCAAGACACTATTAACGCCACAAACGACTGACGTAGTTCGACTTGCATCTTGCCCAAAGGGTCACATTGCCAGCATTTCGTTGGACCGGACCACTGCAATCTGGTCACATACACCAGATGGCTACTCGCCTTTCCTGTTACCAACAGCAACCATGAAGCCCAATCTGTGGCCTATCAACGCTAGTGCTATCGATGATGGTGGGACTCAGCTTGCGTTGTGTGCCAATTCCGGTCAAATCGGGCTCTGGAATATTGCGGCTAAACAGTTCGCCCTGTTCCCGAAGATTGACCTGCGAGGACAAGTACCGATCTTGTTCCGCTTTGCCACTCTTCTTACTCGCATAGACGCCGAGAGACCATACCTGATTATTGTCAGTCCGGACGGCCGTCTGACGGAACTAGAAGCGTCCACTGGTATCCATCACACCAAGCGCATATCATCAAGCTCCATCATTTGTGCCAAGCTGTACATACATGGCAGGAACACTAGTCTGGTCTATGTGACCAAGTCTGGGGAGGTACATATATTGCCATTGAGGGAGGGAATTAACGCGACGTCGGAAGTAGTCGCTGGTCTCGATCCAGGACCACCACCAGGAAGCAACCCAGAAAAAATCAAGTGCATTGAAGGAGTTCCCAGTCTCGGCATCATCTTCGCACTTCGAGATGAGCAAGCAGAGGTCTTTGACTTTAAGAGTCGAGCACTGATCCACTCTTTCCAGATTGGCCACCTCGAACCTCACTCATTTCGCATTTCGCATCCTGCTAGACGACTATGCTCATGTGGAGCGCCTGCTGTACGCTTCCTATCCGTTGCTTACAACGAGGAACACTCCAACCACATGATCATGCAGACCTTCACCTCGTCCAACCCCTCCATCTCACAACTCTGCCTCGGAAAAAGTCCCGACCACGACCAACACGACTGCCAACGCCTCGACAGCGCCCACGAGGCAGTCCATTACGTCGAACCTGCTGGTGTTTGGGCATTGACAAGCACGCTCAGCATCATAGGCATACGGCGCGGCACCCATCCGCCCTCCGCCTCATCCACTCCTTCGGGCACAGAAGACGCACACTACACCGCCGACGCTCGCACTCTCGCCTCCGCACTCAAACACCGTGCCCGCAAGCCACCCCACCCGAACACGGTCCCCCACACCCTCGACTCCACCTTTGCCAACACCCGCCACACCACGCGCGCCCCCCTCTGCACCACCGAATGGGAAGCCTGGACCCTCTCCCCGATGGGCGATTTTCGCTCCCGCCCCCTCCAACCCGACGACCTCGAAGACGCGGAATCCGGCTTCGCCGACGATCACGAACTCTTCGTACCGGCCCCTGGACCCATCAGCCGCCATGGAAAGTGCAGCGTCGTTGTCGGTTTCGGAAACGCGCTCAAGATCATCTCGCTCGGTAGGGAAACGTTTGATGGTCTTGTGGCCGGGGCCGAGGGGGTTGGGTCCACGGGCGCCCTCGATTTGGGCGTCGGGAGTACTCATGCGTATAGGGCTAGGAAGGGGGGTGGGAGGAAGATTCAGTAATTTGATGGGGTGGGTTTGGCTGGACTGGGCGGGGCTGCTTATGGAGGTTGAGATCTATTGGAAATGAAATTTGGATTTTTAATGTGAATGCTTGAGATGGGCGGAGTATTTTACGTGATGCGATGTGATGTGATCTGAAGCTGGCTTGTGTGGTGTGGTGTATTGCATAGGGTGGTGTACACTATGTTATGGTGTATTGCGTAGTATAGTATCTAGTAGTGTATATGGTATATAGTAGAGTACAGTATACAGTAGAGTACAGTATACAGTAGAGTACAGTATACAGTACAGTACAGTATACAGTAGAGTACAGTATACACTAATAATATGGTACTACCACACAAGAGCGTATCAACCACACCACAGTACACAATATCCACCACACAACACTACAGTACACAGTACACAACATACGTCAACAATCATTTTGTTCCTAGAAAATAACAAGCAAAATGCTACAAGAGCCAAGAAAAAAACCCCATCACATGGTTGGTAACAGCACAGGACAAGGACAGCCCCCCCCCTGTTTTCCCTTGCTCAGAGGCACGACTACTAAATACCATTCTAACAAAGACACCAAGCCAGCACACACGCTCCCTATCCCCTCAATCCCTCTGATAAAAACCAAGAGTAAAAAGACAGAAACATCCCCTAACCCACGGGCGTCGCTGCCCCCGTCCCCGCCGCAACACCATTAGCATCCATGGGGCTGGCGCCTCCACCGACGGCCCCAGCCCCAGTATGACTACCATTCGTCGGCCGTCTCCGTGTGCGAATTGGCTTCTTCCTGCGATCTGCGCCGGCTGTGCCCTTGGCTGCTGCGCCACCTCCCTCTGCCACATCCACCATGTTGAGATCTTCGTCGTCTGGCCGATCCGCATCGTCGTCCCGGTCTTCCCAGTAGCGTCGTGTCTCGTCGAGCTCTGTCACATCCGTGGGCCGCATGCGCAGCCACTTCATGCGGGGGCCTGAGCGGGCGCGCTCGCTGACACGGAAGCCGTAGATGCGGGGTTCGTAGATGCTGCCGGTGCCGAGGCTGGGGGCGAGGTTGTGTGGCGCCACACCGTTTATTGACGTGACATTCGAGGGCGTCGTGTTGCGAGGTTTGTTGTTGGCGGCGTCGGCGGATTGCGCGTTGAGTTGGGCGAGGGCGTCGATGGAGGAGGAGGGGTTTGCGCGGAGGTTGCCGCCAATGTCGAGGTCGGTGAAGGTCATGAAGAAGAGCGAGGGGAAGGTGGTGCCAAAGAAGGCACCGTCGACGGTCTGGAAGCGTGAGTTGGGCGGCGTGTAGACGTCGAGGCACGAGGGGCAGAAGAGCTTGACCGTCTCGTGGCCTGGGCTGTCGTTGAGGCCCACGGGAAGCACTTTGCAGGAATTGCAGTTTACGCGCGGGCAGATGCCAAAGTGTTGGAGTTCGTACTTTTCCGCCATTTGTTGGATACCCGGGCGCGAGGTAATGTAGCGTTGGTGTATGAGGCCATAGAGTAGCTCGGCAGAGCTTTCTATCACACTGAGATCGGAGGCTATCCGCAAATGTCTGCGATCACTGGCTCGTCGGTAGCCCGGCGCTCGTTCGTCACCCAGTATGTCTTCGTCTTCTTCGTCTTCGTCCTCGTCCTCCTCTTCATCCTCGTCGTCTTCGGGCTCAACGTCCAGTATCATCTCCAATGCCTCCTTGTACATGGGCACTTGTGACTGCAGACCTGTGAGGTTGAAGTCATCTTCGACAAAGTCCTCTGACACCTCGGCAAAGTATTCGTGGCCTAGCAAGCCACAAAAAGACGCGATCCAAGACTCGGTGACCTGAGATGACGACGACATGGTGTAGTGGTCGTCGTCCAGGATTGCGCCGTTGTATTGGCGCGGGTGGGGGGGATCCTACGTGAGGATATTTGTTGTGTAGCGGATGGACAATGCGAACTCGAGGTTCCGAATGTGGGGTGGGAGAAGAGGGGGGGTTTGTGTTGTTGTGACCCAAACAGGGAGTTGGTAGTGGGTGGCAGCAACGTTGTGTAGTAAAGCCGATGTGATGTTGAGCAGCTGCACGCGCAGCAATAGTGTTATCGCATGTGATGGCCCACGGAGCTCGGGATAAGGAAGGGCTCGGCGGTTGTCGTGCTGCTAGTGAACTAAGGTGGGGGAGGGGTCCACGAGTGAATGGAGGGTTTGACGTCAAAGCCCCGAGACTCTCGCCAATATTTGTATCGCTAGTGTATCAGTATAGTACAGTCCGGAGCAAGTGCATTTGTTCGACTGGGGGGTGGTCGTGTGTTGCAGCAGGCGAAGTTGTGGTCGTCTTAGCTTAGCCTGGAAGACGATCGTCAAAGCGCACGTGACAATCCTCGCGTGAGGCTGCCTTCTCACGCAACGACCCCGAGAAGTGCACAAACAAAACCCGACAGGGCCATTATACCGGTGACTCTCATGCCTGGCGAGACGAGACGAAATTTACGAGCAAGATGGTGGCATGCCTATATAGTCGGACTAAAATGAGTCTGTAACGCGCCAAAAGTGAACCAAGCCCATCAGTTACAAGGTCTACAAGTTCAAGCACACCATGTTCCCTTCCCAACAATCAAAACCAGCCCAAGTCTCCGATACAGCTTTCACTAAGCAGCCCTGTCACACTTGAAATCAGAAGTCAAGTCCCAGCTGCGATATAGCAATGTTCCACAGACCTTCGGTTCAGTCCCACATGTATGGCAGAGCATTTGCATGTTCCGAAGCATGCCAACCTGATCCGACGCCGTGCATAACTATGCTTTTTGATAAAAGTACAAGAATAGACAACAGATACAAAACGCGGAGGGTATTCTGTTAGATATCTGTAATCATCGCCTGGTCGTCTTGCTTCTGCCCCTCGGACACAATGTTGAGGAGGCGCGCATAGGGGACCGTGATACGCTGCAGATCTCTGTGTTTACCTAGTGGTGATATTAGTGTCTAGTATGGTGAGAAGAGTTGAGGAGGTTGACTTACCAAGTATCAATACAGCCTCCTTCAACAGCTCCTCCCTCTTCCACCCGCAAATCACCTCGGGCTCCTTCATCTCGTCGTCGTCATCATCTCCTTCGTCTTCCGTGATTAGGTTGCCCATCAGACTTCTCAACAGCTCCTCAATCTTGCCCTTCAGACCTTCCGCACCGAGACGCTTAACGTACATGGTAAGATAGATCTTGAACTCTTCTCTTGCCCCAAGCGCACGGGCAGCTGCAACACGATTTTCGAGATGAGCAACACTAGCGCAACTTTCGAATGTTTCGAAGCCTTCGGCGGAGATGAGAATCTTGATGAGTCGCTGCAGGTGAAATGATCGACCTTGTAGAAGAGACTGGTTTGTGGTGTTGCGTTCCAGCGAGGGTATGATGCCCGCTGAAATGTTTTCCATGGAGACGTGATCGTGCTTCTCCTTCGGTGCTGTATTACTGTCTTTTGATGATCGAATGTTACCGACAGAGGAGTCGGTGCTATTCCAATACTGACTTGTGACTCCCCACCATGGTTCTGAGAGTCGTTGCCAAACGTACATTTCTGGGTTGTACGTAAAGCCATCACCATTTGACATGGCCACGACTAGGCGTCCAGTAGAGTTCAGACGTGCAAACACGATACCGGGGGATCTTGTTAGATGTGGGCCTTGGGCATGTGCTGCTATGTCGAGGATAGGTGCCAACGTTACTGGCGGATGGGGTGACGACATGTTCTTCAGGTTCCAGATGTAACACATGCCTACAGAGGTTATGCACAACAACCACCAGCCACGGCAGTCCATAATGACGGGCTGCGATTCTAGAACCATGGCGTTTAGTGTTCTTCGACCTGCTGGTGACCAAGCGTATATGGAGCCGTCTTCGCAAGCTGCGGCAAAGAAATTGGTGTTGCCTGTGACTAGTAGAACAGCCTTTGGTAAGAAGTCCTGCCATAAAACCTGGCCCTTACTCGTACAAGTAAGTCTTGTAGGATCATGATCTTGTAGCCGACCTGTCCTAGAAGGGCCACTAGCATTTCGAGCTTCTAGTATTACCGTGTCTGGCACTTCTGCTTTGCCTGTATTGGCATCAACGCTGTTCTGCGTTGGTTCACTGCCATCTGCCGTGCGCACAATCACGCTCCTAACCTTGGGCACTGCCAATCGTACTTGGCTCACGCTAAGAGATGGGTTGACGATGGCGGGCCGAAGTACTTTCGGAGGTTCTTGTAGCTCGTTACTTTTTGGTGCAGCAGCAGCCGGTGGAAGGAGACCGTTCTCGCCATTCAGCACTATAGCTGCGCCACCAGGTCGTACGGAAGCGGCAAGTCTTCGTTCAATCTGTCGCTCCTCGTCTCCCTCGATTTCAGCAAACTTCCTCTTGTTGCCTACCAGCATGGATGCAAGACCGCCCTTAGGGAATCCATCATACGGTTTTGACAGATCGAGGATGTTGTGTGGATTGTCACTCCGCCCGCCTGAAGTCGTCGTTGCGGAAATGAGTTGTGTTTGTGGTAACGAAGATTCGCCAATTCCCGAGGAAGATGACATTAGCATGGGTGCTATGCGCTTCTTGCCCTCTTTCGTCACAGTCACCCGTTGCTTGAGCTTCTCCACTCGTTGGTCAGCAGGTGGCTGCGCAGGCGCAGGCGCTGCTGTTTGCGCAGGAGTGCTCGATCCATTCGTCTGTGGCACAGATGATGCAGCGCCATTAGTTCCATTGGCAAGAGCTGGAGGCTGAACTGCACCTCCATCGCCCATCAAAGCACCCATTCTGCCCTGGACACCTTTGAGCTCTCCGCTCTTGCTGCTTTCTTCTAGCAGTAGAGCGTCGGTGCCTTCGATAATACCAACCCTCCTCCCAGCGCCGAATTTCGATAGCGTCTTCTCATTCTCGGAAAGTGGCGCAGGATATCCCAACTCCCCTGGTTCGAAGACGATGGTCAAGATACTTCCATCCAAACTGGTCACGAATAATGTCTCGCCATTTGGCGCCCACGCTAAATCGGAGATGGACTTTGTGGCCAGCTCTTGCGATATTATGAAAGGCCTTGGTAGGCTGGTGATCCACACACTCAGACATTTGTCTTGTCCAGCGCAAGCAATGATGGTAACTGAAGGCTGGTTGACGCTTCCATCATTTCGCAATGTGGGCGGCTGACTGTAGAAGAGTCTTGGAGAGAAGGCTGCAACTTCTACTGGACCCTCGTGGCCAACGAGACTGATGTCTCCATCCCAGGTTCCACGCACAACAATAGCAACAGAACTGACTGGTCCATTGGTCGAGTTAGCAGCAGCAATGTGCGCACCGTCTGGTGACCAAGAGCAACGGCGAAAGTATGTGGTGAGTGGAGACGTCTGAAAAGGTGCGGTGATGGTGTGCTCGAGGACGAAGTTGTTGACCTGATCTTGCTGCGTCGCATTTGGCGGAGGAGAATTGAATCGGAATACCTTGACGGTTCGGTCGTCACTTGCGGTCGCGAAGTACTTGTTCGCCGGATCGAACGTGATGCCCTTGACGTGGCTTTGGTGGTTGGACAGCGTCTTCAGTTTCTCGAAGGAATGGCCTGACCACACTACCACCTTGGAGTCTAGGCCCACTGAGACGAGGATGGAAGAGTCGTAAGACCAGCCGAGATCCTGCACATCGTTGTCATGTCCTATAAGGCGGCGGATGACGCGCCAATTCTCGACGGGTGGGGCTTCGTTAGTTCCTATACATATAATCAGCCACCGTTCTCCCGTTTCCCCTCCCCCCCCCCTTATGAGAGGGCCACGCTGTGACGTACCAAATGCTGCGTGTGTCGGCGGTGCATTCTTGTCTAGCGCATAGACACATACTATCTTGTCATCTGCGCCCGATGCCAGGTATTTGCCATTGTAGGAGAAGCGCACGGCGTGGATTGTACCCGAGTGGTGACTGACAGCAGCAAGCTGCTTCGGTTTCGTGTATTCGGGGTTATTCGAGTTCAAAATGGCCTCAGTAGACCATATGCGCACATAGCCATCTAAGTAATGTCAGTTGGTGCCGATCAGCAAGACAGCGAAGGCTATGCGCATCGTCTTCACGCTGCTGTGCCAAGTTATGGTAACGAACCTCCGGCGGCTGTAACGAGTCGCGACCCGTCAGGCGAGACGTCACAGCTATAGACTTCGAAGTCTTTTAGCTCACCTGTAGAGAGAAAAATAATAATGATTAGCTAGTCGTTTTGGGTGAGGGGGACGCGGGGCGCAATGTCTCCATGTGCAGTGTCGCAATCGGTGTACTCACCCGGGTGTGTCAACCACTGCGGCTTGATCACATGCATGGTCGCGTATAGTCGATGGGTAAATAGAGCATGCTATGACGCGACCATGAGTGTTTGGCTGATATATGAGTTGTGGGCAGGTTGAGGGCGTTGGGGGCGATGGTTGTCGTGTTCGGCGTCGGGACTTGCACGTTTCTGTTATTCGCGATGATTGTTCTGGCACTTAGGTGACGCGAACTCGCGGGCGCGGTCGACGCTCCTTGGCGGACGTTTGAGGCAGGGGTTTAAGGTTTAGCTGCATGGCCGATCATAAAGTGGGTTTCGCCGTGCCCGAAACACGGTACATAATGGCCATGGCAAGTATCAAGTATTCCTCGCATTGATTCGGAAGATGGACTCCAAAATTGGCCTAATGTTTTTTTATTGATTTATATATCATATACTGCTGCCTTCAGCCTTCACCGAACATGCTCGTCCTTCGTTCTTTATGCTGCCAGGATCTGGTCATCGCCTTTCCATCTCTGTCCTGAAGCTTCGATTGCATCATATAACCCATCAATAAAGAGGTTGTGTTTGCATCAGAGTAATAAACCCTCGCTTCAGATTGCATCGTATCTGGTTGCATAAGTTTGTGTGCTGTAACAGAGCTGGCTTTTCGCCTTTGGAGAGCTGAGTATTGCTGCGTGTCTCTTTTACTTTGCAATCTTCTTCCTCTTTTTAAAGACAATAGCTGGTGCAGCTGGTGTAGTCGGCGCGGCTACATCTTCCTGCTTCACGGTTGTAGTAGCCTCTCGTGCTTGTGCTTCTTCTTCTTCAGCCGTAGGAATGCCGTGTAATGTCTTTGTAGTGGAATAATCCTCGTCCTCCGCCTTGACGCCGAGCCCTTCCGAATCCTCCCGCTTGACTTCTTGCTTTTGATCGATCGGGACCTCCTTCTTCCTCAGCAATGACTCAATGTCATCGTCCACCTCTTTACTCCCTGGAAATGCCTTAAATTTGTGGCCCCAACCCTTCTTCCTGGTGATGATCTCTCCCGCTGCTTCTCGCTCTTCCTCTTCCTCATCTATCTTTCTCTTTCTGACACCCTTGTTCAGAGAAGTCGCCTTGAACTCTCCATCCTCGGTCACTTCGCCTATAACTTCTTCGGACACCTTCTTCCACTCTCCTGCGATCGCCAGATCCCCTCTCACCGCCTCTGGGACCGCTATTCCCATAGCTGCTAATTGATCCCATTGTCGCTTCCGATCTTCGACAGTCGCCTTCTTCTCAGGCCGCTTTTCGAATGTGGCAGCCCCACCCGTGCCCCCTGCTACCGAGGGAGAGCTGGTGGAGGGCACAAGGCCATTGAGTCGCGCGACTTCAGCCTGTGCTCGCGCTTTGTTACGCTGCTCGACTTCTTGCTCACGGTGGAGGCTCTTGAGACTGCGCTGAATGTTGCCCTGGTGGCGGCCGGTTGCTTCGTGTTGCGCCCGCTCGAACTTGGTGTCTTTAACGTAGACAAGGCAGAACTTGCACCAGTATTTTGGCTGGAGAAATATCAGCTGCATAGTCTCTCTCGGAGTCCTAGTTCACTTACTGTTGACTTCCAGTATTCTGCCATGATGAGTGTAGAGAATCGTGGGATGCGACTGATGTTGGAAAGTTCGCTGACGTTACCTAGCACCCGCACAGACCAGGCTCGGGAGTCCGCAGTTGTGCTCCAGAGTCTATCCTAGGAAATGATCTATCAAGAAGACAGTTTGTATTAAACTTCCCAATGCCCTACGTCTACCAGCGTATAAGGCCCACAAACAATCATATGTCGCTGCGACAGAAGGATTTGATGATAGTCTTATCAGAACACCCAGTGTATGCCAAAAGCACTGTGACATAACCATAGCCTTGATATACATGTCTCACAGTACACCACGAGCATACCCAGTATGAGAGTTTGAGACGTTTGTTATAATCTTTTTGCGATATTGTGCTAAAAGGAGTGGCGCACCTGTACATGTGTGTACAACAGCATAGTCACGTGTCAATGAACAGGGGTCACATGCAGCGGCTTGCCAGGAGGAAAGGTTCCGGAATCCCTCAATATGATTGGTCCGCCTACGCGTTTCGCCGCGTCGCAGATTAAGCGCTCGCGCCACAGGTACGATGGGACTAGGATCGACTATTGGCCATTTTTTGAGATCTGCCCCCTGGCACTGACATCGCATTCCTCGCCAACATGCCCTTGGAAATCAATTAGTAGATGCCTTTGAGGGGTGGAGACCTTGCCGATGATGACATAGGAAGAGGCTGTGCTATTTGGGTTTGAAATGCCGAGTTCATATTCAACTTTGTTTCCACCTCTTTAACGTTACTTTGTTTCCACCTCTTTAACGTTACATTGTTTTCACCACCAGTCGCATGCGACGGGTTTCCAACACCATACTGGTAGACCACTTTCCTTGAAGGCTCATACACGGGAGTAAATAAGACAAGATGGTGTTCAATTGCACAGATGTGCCCAAGGCAACGCCCACGGATGCTGGAGTCGCAGGCGCAGGCGTTAGTCACCCTTTCTTCCTCACTTCCAATCCTCCAGGTTCACTGATCATAAACCCCCAACCAACAGACGCTACTCTCCTTCATAATCACAAACCTCCTGTCCATTCTCCTCTCCGCTATTATCATTCTCCTCGGTCTGCGAAAATCAACCTCTGCACCCCTATGTCGCAAGCTCCTGCAATCCTTTTCAGACCAACAGATCCTCACCGGTATTGGCATCCAATCCGTCGGCCTAGCCAAGATGAAAACAATGGTCCCCTACCACTTCTTCATCATCTGGCTTCTCTCCCTCCTCTCCACGGCCACCAACCTCGCCACCCTCCTCGCCCTAGTCAATGACTTTAGACGCGACTGGGTCCTGCGCTGGATCCGCCAACTGCTCATGCTCGTCAACATGTTCCTCGGCATCCTCAGTGGGATTTTCATCCTACAGACCGTGCTCCGAAACATGGAACCCAGACTCCCCATTGCATGTGTCTGGCACGTCGAAAGCAGAGGCAGTGCCGACAACGCCGCCCTCAGCATCGCAGGTACTATTTCCGTCCTCGCCGGCCAAGTCGTCACCTTCATCCTCGCCACATGGTACCTGCACAATAGATCCAACCCGCAATGGCTCAAAACCGTGCAAATCGCCGGTCTCCTGGCCTGTCTCGCAATGGGCCTCGGCGCCACCGTCCGCGTCGTCCTCGAGAGCCAGGCGTTTGGGCACCCGCCCGCGTCGGTGAATCTGCAGGGCCCGAGCGAGGGGAGCTGGAGTTTTGGCCAGTTGTTGCCGCTGTTGCTGTTGGCGCTGCCGGTGATTAGTATGGTGGAGATTATGCGGGGGGAGACGGTGGTGCCGAGGAGTAGGGTGGATGAGGATGCCGTGCCGTTGGTGGGCAAGGGCGCCGATGTCGAGTTTCAACCGAATCCTCTGCTGGGGAGTGCGACGAGTTTGTTCAGGAAATAGTAGTTGTATGGCTAGGCCATGATTTGAGATATCTGCAAGCATCTCTTATGTCGGAGAAATGATGAGTGAATAATGTCCATGTGAAGATTTGTTTTCGGCACGGATCTGTTCATAAATCGACTTGATTGTGTTACAAGACATCATGTCATAGTTATCTATCATATTCCCAAAACTAGATTTCACTGATATTTTCGTGCCCTACACGAGTGCTTGGCCCGCACCACAAACGACACGAAGAATGCGAACAACTCCAACAGTCCGCTCTGGTAACAACCAGACATCCACAAAGCATTACCATAAATCCAAGCCACACCTCGCCTCATACAATTACTATCATGGTATCTTTGCAAAATAGAACAACAAGTCTGAAAATCCAACGCTAAGATGCATCAAAACGTCAAACGCCCACGTTCCCGCATGGCCAACTTTTCTCTAGCAAATAAACAAAAAGCAAAGACGCCCCTTCTACTCGTCTGCAGAAGCTGGCTTGGTAGTAGGCGCATAAGCACTCTTCTCCCTGATCTTCGCACCCCTGAGATAAAACCACACGGGAACGGGGACGAGGAGCGCAGCAACGCAACCGAGCAGCGTGGCGGCCCACTGTATGCCCATGCCCTCGAACATTTGCCTTGCGAACAAGGGGAAAGCGGCGCCGCAGAGACTGCGGAGGAATGTGTTTGCTGCGATAGCTGAGGCGGCGAACTAGATTTATGAAGTAAGTAAATGGCTGAAGGAGGGTGGGGAGAGAGCGAGAGCGAGAGGGAGAGGGGGTTCTCAAGAACTTACCATGAGATAGGCATCGACGAGGTAGTTTAGGGCCTGAAGGAAGATACTGAGCAGACCGAAGCCGATTAAGATTCCAGAGAGTGTAGGCACAATCCAGTGAATATCTTGGCGATAGCCTGTCCATCCGAACCAAAAGATGCCGACGGAGAAGCATATGCCTCCCAGAATGACCTCTGGCAATCTCCATTCGGGAATGGGGACATTTTTGTTGGCGGCAAGTTTCTTCTGGTAGCCCGGTTGACGGATGAAGATCAGTGTACCGGCTAGGAGTTGTCCGGTGATCATTCCGAAAAATGGTAGACTACCAACACCAAGATTCATGCCATGTACGCCCTGAAAGACGAGCGGGTACGCAGTTAGGAAGAGGTACAAGAGGCCGTAGATGAAAGCCATGTACACACTAAGCAGCAATACGATGCGCTCAGTGAACAGCATTCTCAGCGGCCGCGAGAAATTCTTCTGCACCAGCTCTTTGAAGTCGATTTCGATCTCGTCTTGTTTGGCGTGGATACCCCAGTTTTTAGTGCGGCGGCGGAGCTCGGCTGCCTTCAAGACAAGGATCTCTGGTGGGTAGGACTCAGAGAGGAAAATAATGTTGATTATAAAGGCGGCGAATCCCATGATGCAGACGAGGTATTCGATCCAGCGCCATCCGAGGTCTGACATGACGATGAAGCCTCCAACAAAGGGTGCGAATATGGGACCGGTAAAGACTGTCATGGAGAAGACGGTGATGGCCATTCCGCGCGTGCGATTGTCAAACATGTCACTGAATACTGCGGCGACACACTATGCAACGTCAGTACACCATCGAGTGGAGCGGAAAAGGTCGTTGTCTATGGTACTTACGGTCAGTGGACAAGCGCCAAAGAAACCAGAGAAAAATCTACAAATCAACACAGTCTGAACGTCCTTGCCCGTAGCGACTGCAAGATTGAAGACTGCGAAACCGAAAGAGGCGATGACAAGAGGCAGGCGTCGGCCTTTGAGTTCGGAGAAAGGTGCCCATAGGATAGGCCCAGTTGCGAAACCCAGAACGTACAACGATGTACCCAGCGTCGCCACAACCGAGCCAACATTGAATTTCTGCATAATGGCACCAGTCGCAGCGCTGAAGATGGAACTGCCAAACGCAGCTGTGAGGGTAGTGAACCCCAGCATAGTAGCTGTGGCAAGCTTCTTCTTCATGGGCCAATTCTGCGCATGAAGAGGGTCATCGTGTCCATTGAATTCGACCACATACTCCTCTCGGTCTGGTAGTGGTGGTGGATATGGCTTCCCTGCTCCGAAGGCAGGCAATGGCTTCTTGGACGTTCTGCTCTTGAGACTGGCTCCAACCGTCTGACTGTGTTGTGACCGCTGCGTCTGGATTCGGCTCAGAGCTGTAGCATGACGTTCGAGGTCCAAGACATCGTCGCGCTGTGTGGCCATTCTAGACATGCCACCATCGCGCTCTGCAGCAGATGCGTCGGATGATGAAGACAGTGACGACGCTGCACTAGAGGCCGTATGTGTGCGCTCAATCTCCTCGTGTTGCTCTATTTTCTCGCCCGTGTCCGTGTGTCCTGGAGCAGTGGGGAAGCGTTCAGGGCTGGCATCGCGCTCAGCTCTCTCGATGTAGCGATCGGATGCGTCCATGTTGTTTGTTTTGTACGTGCGAGCCACAATGCGCCAAAGGAGGAAAGGGAGGCGCAGAATGGTAAAAGTCTTGTCCAGGTTTGCACGAAAGGGGCCCAACGTCGTATAAGTATTCTAGAAACCCAATGTCCGCTTAACTCCAGATAAAAGCGGGTGCACTCGCGTTCTCGCTCTTTCGCGCTTCGAGTCGGACGCTAGCTAACTCTGAAGAGGATGTAGAGTAAGGTTTGAAGTCGTTGGTTGAAATATTTCCATCCCGAGTATGGGTTGCAAGTATAGTGTCACAAGACTGGGGGCATTTCGAGACTTTGCACAGCCAGATCTTGGACTGTTTCCTTCATGGCCCTCTGCCATTTTGTGTAAAAGTTCGTTGCACAGCCAAGATCTTAATCATAGATGGCAAGGTTTATGACGTCGCATGCACCGCATGGGGCGATTTTTAACGACAAGCTTTTTCGCGAGCATCTCGACAGACGTAGTTAGCCGCAATTGTCGGTCCCATCTGTGGCTTCGGCCGAGCTTCTGAGCATGAAATCATTTGTGAAGAAGAGTCTGCTAGTACACAGTATGTACAGCCCCAATGAGGAAAGTCGAAGTGTACTCTACTACTAGTTATCTCGGCTAGTTTGAGGATCACGTTACTTGTCTTGTGCTATGAAAATAGCCAGGATGTAGCAGTGGCAAATCACATGATACTCAAACTACCCGAGCGCATGAGATACTACTATAATATAAGAGGGCTCTGGAACTTGGTAAGCTTGACCTGACATCATGGCGTGTTTTAATAACTACCCTTCGTGCGAAATTCAAGTATAGTTATTGCTACCCATACGTTTTCAAAATCGTGGACTGTGTGACAGACCTCGCATCAGCAGTGCTGCCAAGCCCATGGTCGTCAGCGGGGGTATAATTAGTGGATCTGGTCGTGAATACGTTGCGTTGGTCGACGATAGGGTTAAGATTCCAAGGAGCATGCAACTCGTGGTAGATGACTGTCGACCAGGACCAACGGGCAAAGTCAAGGAAAGACAGAAGGACATATTACAGGGACCATGCAAGTGTTGTTCCCAAAATGGGAGTTGGTATCTCTACCATGTCGTAAATTTCGTCTAGCAGCTGCTCATAAAGACGTGATCGTAAACCTTTCCCAACCCGTCCGTCATAACCAGGCATGCCATTCGTAATAAGCTCGTGGTGCCGCTCAGGCCTCCCGCGGCTACTCTACAACTTCTGCATAGCAACAACATCGGTTGACTGAACGTGGTCTTCGTCCTCCTCAATCAGTTGTTGCAAGTCGTCCAGCGAGACCTTTTCGTCTTCGATGACCAAGTTGATCTGCAGCTTCTTGATACCGAAACCAACAGCGACGAGTGTCGAGGCACCCCAGACGAGACCGTCCTTCTCGATGGCGAGAACGTTGGCCTTGAGCTCATCCATGTTTGTCTCGTCATCTATGACAGATTAGTATAGGGTTGCACTAGCGAATTGGTATAAAAACATACCCCATGGCTTGACATCAAGGGTGACGATGGACTTGGCAGCAGGCTTGACCTTGCCGGCCTTCTTCTTGTTGTACTCGGCAAGACGCTCGGCCTTGACCTTCTCCGCTTCCGCATCTTCCTCTTCATCATCGCTGCCGAACAGGTCGATGTCATCCTCATCTTCAGCCTCCTTCTCAGGTGCCTTGGCGGGGTTGAGTGTGAGTTCCGAGGAGTCGGGGCCGTAGGCAGTGTGCTCCTTGGTTGGGTCGCCGGGCAGTGACTCGAACTCACCCTCGAAGGTGAGGATGTGGTTGTACCAGCGCCATGCGTATGGGAACTTCTCTGGTGCAGGAATCTGCTTGATCTGCTGGAAGACCTTTACATCGGCCTGCGATGGGGTGTAGCTATGGCCTGTCAGTCAATGATCTCTGCAAAGTACCCTAGGGTGACTGTGACCGAAACAGAAAGGGGTATGTATATCAGAGCTGCGACAAGCGCTTGGTTTTGTATTCAGATAGCGGGGTCTTAAGCCGCCTCATTAACACGGACCAAAGATTCTCATCATAAAACAATCGGGGAGAAAGGAGGGGTTGATTCGTGCTGGAAAAAAACACAAACACGCAGGGGGCCAAGTAATGGCGGGGTGGGGTAGCAAACATACCCAACAATGTAGCTGCGCGTCTTGACCCAGTTGTTCAGGAGGGTGAGGCCGGCGTCGGAGACAAAATCGGTGAAGCCCATATTTGCAGTTGGGGGTTGCTGTGGATGTAGAAGGGAAGGAGTCTAGTATGGAGAGTGTGAGCGGAGGACAGCTGGGGGTTTTGCTCGAGAGGAAATGAGGGTTGGGAAAAATTGCGCCCAGACGCTAGCACGTGCTTTCGTGCCTGACGGGGGGTGCGGGGGCCACCTCCCCAGCCCCTCTATGCAAATGTTCTCCTCTGAAACCCGGGTTTGCAGTGCATATTGTAAATCCTGTGCAAGTCGCAGATCTGATCGCACAGATACACCAAGTTCCCTGTACTATTACAATACCATACCATAGCTGACTCTCGAAACTCCTGTTGGCGTCGTTGATCAGATCTTTACCGTGGGGTGACGGGTACTAAAAAATCGACAATAGAACTACATCGAATCATCGTGGAGTTTCGATGAAGCCTGTGCTCCAACCGTCAATCCCAGATATAATGTTTTCTTTTCCCTCTTGTGGACTCTGACTTTTGATCGCATTCGACGACTCCATACCAACATGCTAACTACTAAAGCGCGCCTCAGTGCGAGGCATCTCATCACCCATGGAACAGTACAATTACCATCTCGACCGTTGTTACCATGTGCAGCCATCACGTTACGCGCGCATCAAGATCCTGTTCCAAGACAACAGCTATTAGGCCCTACGAGGTCCTACATGAACACGACTCGCCCGCAACAACCATGTTTGATACAACCGCGCATCACTTCTCGAGGCTATGCGAACGGACGGCCGCATCCACCAGGTGGCACACATCGAATGAATATGGGGGGTGAGCCGGAAAAACCGGCGTTGGAACAATACGGAATAGACCTCACAGAACGGGCACGGGATGGAAAATTAGATCCTGTCATCGGCCGTGACGGCGAGATCCAGCGGACTATACAGATCCTGTCACGACGGACAAAGAACAATCCGGTACTCATAGGGAAAGCCGGAACTGGCAAAACTGCTATTCTTGAAGGCTTGGCTCAGCGTATCGTCAAGGGCGATGTGCCTGAGTCAATCAAGGATAAGCGTGTCATCTCACTCGATCTTGGTTCGCTCATTGCAGGCGCCAAGTTCCGAGGCGATTTTGAAGAACGGCTGAAGAGCGTCTTAAAAGAGGTGGAAGAAGCGAAGAAAGGAGTCATCTTATTCGTTGATGAGCTTCATACGCTCTTGGGTCTCGGCAAGGCAGAGGGTAGCATTGATGCCAGTAACTTACTAAAGCCAGCTCTGTCCCGGGGCGAGCTACAGCTCTGCGGTGCCACTACTTTGAGCGAGTATCGCCAAATTGAAAAGGATGCTGCGCTTGCTAGACGCTTTCAGCCCATTCAAGTTGGCGAACCCACCGTCCAAGATACCATTTCAATTCTTCGTGGAATCAAAGAGCGTTATGAGGTCCACCACGGAGTGCGCATAACCGATAATGCCCTGGTCGCGGCGGCCTCATACAGCAACAGGTACATAACAGATCGCTTCCTCCCAGACAAAGCAATTGATCTCGTGGACGAGGCTGCCAGCGCCTTACGACTGCAACAGGAGAGCAAACCCGATGCAATTCAAGAGCTTGATCGTCAGATCATGACGATCCAGATCGAATTGGAATCACTTCGAAAGGAGACCGACATCGCCAGCAAAGAGCGACGCCAGCGCTTGGAAGAGTCTTTGAAGCAAAAGCAAGAGGAAGCCAAAGGACTCACCGAAAAGTGGGAGAAGGAGCGCGCGGAGCTCGAAGAAATTAAGAACGCCCAAGAGAATCTTGAAAAAGCAAGACTGGAGCTTGAACAAGCCCGACGAGAGGGCAATTTTGCCAAGGCTGGAGAGCTACAGTACAGCAGAATTCCGGAGCTGATAGAGAAGCTCCCAAAAGACGAGGAATTGGTTGCAGGCGCCAGCCGTCCTGACTCACTGCTGCATGACTCAGTCACGGCCGATGATATAGCCAGTGTCGTCTCACGTACGACAGGAATCCCACTTTCCAAGTTGAACAGTGGTGAAAGCGAGAAACTGATTCACATGGAGGAGACCTTACGCCAATTTGTCAAAGGGCAAGATGAGGCACTCACAGCAGTTGCAAATGCTATTCGCTTGCAAAGAGCGGGACTTTCTGGGGAGAATAGGCCGATAGCTTCTTTCATGATGCTGGGGCCAACAGGTGTCGGCAAGACAGAGGTATGTAAGAGGCTGGCAGAGTATCTGTTCAGCACTCCACAGGCAGTCATCCGTTTCGACATGAGCGAATTCAGCGAAAAGCACACTGTCTCGAGATTGATAGGCAGTCCAGCCGGATACGTAGGCTATGAAGACGCCGGACAGCTCACCGAGGCCGTAAGACGAAAGCCATATGCCGTGCTCCTTTTCGACGAGTGGGAAAAGGCTCACAAGGACATTTCCACACTATTACTGCAGGTTCTAGACGAAGGTTTCTTGACAGATGCACAAGGTCACAAGGTTGACTTCCGCAACACGATCATTGTTATGACATCGAATCTGGGCGCAGACATCATCGTCGGCGATGACGCCTTACGTTCAGGTAATCAAGACTCTGGCGAGATATCGTCTGATGTCCGCAATGCTGTCATGGATATCGTTTCCGCCACGTATCCTCCCGAGTTCCTCAATCGTCTCGACGAATTCATAATTTTCAGGCGCTTATCTCGTGAAGCACTGAGGGACATTGTAGACATTCGACTGAAAGAGCTCCAGCAACGATTGGACGACCGAAGAATCACCCTTGATTGCCCCGACGAAGCAAAACAATGGCTCTGCGATCGCGGATACGACCCTAAGTATGGAGCGAGGCCGTTGAACAGGCTTATCGCACGAGAAATTGGTAATGGCCTTGCAGACAAAATTATTCGAGGAGAAATTCGAAGTGGCGACACAGCTAAAATCGGCGTCAAATCGGATGGCTCAGGCCTCGAGGTGACTGCGTGAAGAAGAAGAAAAAGAAGAAGAAACGGCACGTGTTAACGACGTTATGACTTGTACTATAAGGTTTGTGTATATTGCATTGTATAATTATCAGGCTTACAGCACAAGAGGGTACTGATGATACCCTATTCACGGATGTATGACTCAATTCATTCAGTATATATGTGCATCTCACTCCCATTGACTTTATTGTCGTGCAAACCTCGACTCCCCTTCCGCATCGACTTGGTAGCATCGATTAAGGCAAGCACGCGTGCACGTGTCATCGCTACTTCCTTTCCCGATGTACTCTCACCCGGTCATCGGCCCTCACCTCATCCGCCAGATAATTTCAACTCTGAGCTGATATCTCTCTAGCTAAACAGTTATGCCGCCCCGTAAGCCGCCTCACAAACCATCATTCCGATATAGAAGCAGGCGCAGCATCGCATCGGCTCACAACAGCGGCGGTGGCACTAGTCTGGACACTTCTGGTTCCAGTACTTCGCGCAGATCGTCTGTCCACTCTCCATCAGCCGCGACAGTAGTCTTGAACAGGTCTCATCGGCCAGCTCGTAGAGGATCGTTCCTTGAAGATGAGTCGACACATGTCCCGTCTCAAAATGGGCGCGAAGATGATGACACATTGAACGAGGTCATCATGGCTGTGGACCTACTACCTCGAGGTGTTGTGGGCTGTAGTTACTACGTGGCGAGGGACGAGAAGATGTTCTTCATGGAAGACATTCCGTTCGGCAATGTGGACATCATTGACACTCGTATGCAATGCTGGATGGGTACTCCATGTAATGAAAGCTAACGATGATAAAGTCCGGTTATCAATCGAGCCGACTGTCATCTTAGTCTCCACAAAGATTGATGATTCAGTGATCAACAGGTTTGACCCAGAGGGCAGGAACGATGATTCCGCAAGCGTCGATAATGATCAATTTCGTCTACCGTTCCTACTGGAAGTACGGCCTCCAAGCGAATTCTACTATGATGCTGCGAAGAGTAAACTTCAGAGTTTGCAATTGGAGGGAACCGAAGTTTCTCAGATCAGCTTCAATGTGTCTAGCGAACTGCCTGCTGCCCATCAGTTCAACGATGGTGATACATTCGGTCAACAAGGACAGCTACTACGACTAGCCGGATTGATCGACTTGGAAAGTCGCGTGACGGTAGTAGCACCCGCGTCATCAGCCTCAGCAGCATACTGACGTTTTTAGGTTGGTTGTGCTGGCGCTTTGATATCCTATCTACAACGTCGACGTGCGGCAGCATATCTGCCTGGCGATCACAGTGCATATCTTATGTTCCGAGTCACGACACTTGGAATGTTCAGTCTTCGAGATACCATGTTCATTAATGCCGATACCCTCCATTCTCTGCAGATACTCGATGCGGAATCACATCCACACTCCCACAACCGAGGGCCAACCAAGAGCAGCTCGGGTGCAAAAGAGGGGCTCTCCGTTTATGGGCTGTTCCATCGCTTAGCAAGAACTTCACAAGGGCGAACACTTCTCCGTCAATACTTTCTTCGACCTAGTTTGAATATTGACATGATCAACGAGCGATTGCACACTGTGGGTGTGTTGGTTCGCCCAGAAAACGAATCTGCGCTGCAGGATTTGGGGCAAAACTTGAAAAACATCGGGAACATGCGCATCGTCCTGATGAATCTCAAAAAAGGTGTGAGCGGATCGACACAAAGCAGATCAGGTCTCTCGCGAACTGTCTGGGTGGCTATCAGAACGGTAATCGCAAATTACGAGTTTGGAATGTACCACTGATGACGTTGTATAGTTTTCATTCTTCGCACTCAAGATCAAGGATGCCTTACAAGATGTCCTGGGAGAAGACCATTTGCCAATTAGGGATAAGGTATGGACTGCCAATAAAACGCATAAAGTCCTCCAGCATTGGGCCATTTATTGACGCCAAAAGGTCTTTGAAAATTTCGAAAGCTATCATCTTGCCCAGATTGGAAGAAAACTCAGCGAGACTATAGATCTTGACAGGTCAGCCGAAGAATCGCGGACCGTAATTTTGACCGGTGTAGATGAGGAGCTTGACCAGATGAAGAGAACACTTGATGGCCTAGGTTCTCTGCTTAATGAAGTTGCAGCAAAGCTTTCGGAGATGATGCCCTCGGATCTACGAGCAGCTTTAAATGTTATCTACTTCCCACAGATTGGATTTTTAGTCACTGTGCCAATCGATCCCACCACGGGTTCTGAAGTCTACGATGGCGGCTTTGAGAGCCAATGGGAAAGAATGTTTGCTACTGAGTAAGAATCTCTTTTGGGTACAAGTAGATGGCAGCACTGACACTATTCAGAGATCAAGTCTACTTCAAGAGTTCCGAGACAAGAGAGATGGACGATCATTTCGGCGACGTTTACGGTATTATTTCAGACCGCGAGATTGAGATCAGCCACGAGCTAGCCCAACACGTGCTCCAGTACGAAGAGCTTATCACGACATGCTCAGATATTTGCGGCGAGCTTGACAGGTCAGTTCGGTGGATCACTCGTATGAAACGCAGCTAAAGGATGCGACAGTCTAGTAGCATTGGCTCAGGGCGCAAAGCAATACAGATTGTGTCGTCCGCGAGTAACACACGACAATGTTTTACAAATTAAGGGCGGGCGGTACGTTCATACTCATTCTACTACATGGCATGTTCTCTGATACAGAGAAAGCCACATACTTCAAGAGCTCACAGTCTCATCTTTTGTACCCAATGACACGTTGCTAGTAGGCGGTATTGGTCGTGACGCACGGTCTGGCCATGATACTGATATTCCACGACTTACCGGTTCGACACACGAACTTCCGAGCATGCTTGTCTTGACGGGTCCCAATTACTCTGGGAAAAGCGTATACCTGAAGCAGGTTGCGTTGATAGTATTTATGGCGCATGTTGGCTGTTTCGTCCCCGCGGATAGCGCAGATATTGGGCTGACAGATAAGATACTCTCTAGAGTCACCACTAGAGAGACCGTATCCCGTGCCCAAAGCGCTTTCATGATAGACCTGCAACAAATTTCGCTCGCCTTGAGTCTGGCCACGCGGAGGAGTCTGCTTATCATTGACGAATTCGGTAAAGGTACAGAGTCCAGCGACGGAGCAGGACTGGCATGCGCAGTGATGGAACACCTGCTCAGTTTGGGACCAGAGCGACCAAAGGTCATCGGTGCTACTCACTTTCATGGTAAGATTTCTGACATGCTAGTTCGATTAGTTTAACAGAACCAGAAATTTTCGAGCTGGGCCACCTTGATCCACGACCGTCACTTGCATTTGGGCACATGGAAGTTCGCATTGATACAGATGCTTCAGAGGTGAACGACCAGATAACGTACCTGTACAAGTAAGTTTCACTTTGTAATTCGCCCTTATGACGCGCTTACTGGGCTAAGCCTCAGGAATGGTCGCAGTACTTCAAGCTTTGGGACTTGGTAAGTTTCAACTTGACAGACGCAGGAGTGGCACTGATGGTCTATAGCTGTGCAGACATCAATGGTGTTCCTCCTGAAATAATCCAGCGTGCAGAGAATTTGATTCTCTTGTCTATGAGGGGCGAAGACCTGGTCGCTGCATGTTGCCAGATGCCCGCAGACGAAGTTGCGGAGCTAGAAGAAGCGGTAAGTGAGACATTGAGCTCAATGTAACGTTTTTTGACATGTACAAAAGGAGCAAATAGCGCGAGAATTTCTCGAGGCCGACGTATACAAAAATCCAAATGCGACGCTAGCAGGCATATTCACGACCTCGACTACTTCCGACTCCTGATCGTGAACGTCATCTCTCGAAGATCGGATGTATGATGCGGAGGATATCACGATCATTTTCGTTCAGCTTGTAGCCCTGTCCGTGTGACATGACTTCGAAAGGAATGGGTATGCTGCAAGCCCACTCCAAGGAGGGATGCAATCGTGTTGCGTGCATATAGTGGCGAAGGGGCGGATAAACCCCCTTGTTCAAGCCCTCACAGCTCAGGCGAATGTGCCGTACTTTTGTAGGAACAGTGTATTCCGTTGTTTCAGAGTGAGTCCTAGCGAATAGGTACTTTGATTGAGGCATGCCTTAAGTATGCCACATAGCAGGGTTCATGTGAATTTCATCGAGTACTAGTCGGCGTACAGTAAGTTGAAGCACGATCGATGCGAGTGACAACAAATGATCAAGTAACGAGTACTAGTAGTCTCCACATCTAGCACTACCATCCTTGAGTGTCGCAGGATCGTATTTGCAAACGTGAATGTTTGCTGGCGGAGCAGTGTGAAGGTCTGCGTCTTGGCCAAGCCTTGACACCCTTGCCACGTGCCGCCCGCCGCCCGCCTCCCTCCCTCCCGCTCCCCCTCCCGAATTCTGCGCAGCCCCTCAGAAGGCACACAGACATCTGCTTCATGCGAGGGGAAGAATCCTGACAAAATGTCCTGACTTCTTGGCACTTCTTCGCCCTACGATCAGCCTTGCAATCGCTGCGGCTCCAAGGATTTCTCGAATCCTTCCTCGATCGAGGCGGAGCACCCTGTGCCACGCTCCAAATTGACGCGACTAAGTAAAATCAGGGCTGGGATCGCGATCGTTTTTCCACACAAGAGTGCGAGGCTAATTACAGCCTCTTGATACCTCAAGAGGCAGTAGTCTCGTACTACTGATTGGATGCATTCACCAGAGACAGCCTCAGTTTGACCTAGCGACCTCTCACCGGTACCATGAGCAAGATGTCCTGAGGTGGCGAGGACGGTGTAGCATATGTATCACGTCGTACAGCAACAAAGGACTGACCAGAACCGTCCCTCCAGTTGACAGATGGGGGTATCTCATCAGTACTCAGTAATGATGTCAGAGAAACCAACTACGGATGTGGCTAGTCGTGGAACGAATGCTCGTTAGCGAGTCAAGCGTTGTTTATTTTGGTGTAGCAGAAGTCAGTCAGCACTAACTGTACCAAGTATCCATTGAAGCAGAGTGAAGAGGCGCATGTGAGCAATATCTGCAGCAGGGGTAAACAGATTATGTGACCGGTCATGGTTCCCAACATGGATGGCCGCTGGCAGGTAGTGAAGCATGTTCCAAAAGAGCAGAAGAGTGTGCTTCAAATCTCAGGAAATCAATCTACCACAACTACCGGTATGCAACGCATCTGGCCCTGTCGTCAATTGCACGGGCTTCACCCAGGTCGCCGAGCCTCGTTGCGTGCCGCTGGCATGGGACATTCCAAGATCCGATTTAGTGGAATACCGGTACAGTACCTATGGAAGCACTACCAGCGGTACCTACCTACGATTCTCCTATACTAGGAAACATTTTGCGAGACTCGGATTGCAGAAACAGAACGAAAGTATCGGTCTTGCTAGGTCTGATGCTCTCTTGTCCTGTGTAGTCCTCGCAACGGCCCAAGCGCCACGCATGATGGTCATCTCCAAAGTCACAGACTATGTAAGTTATTTACGCTAAGCCCAATCTGGAATGCATCTTGTTGTAAGCTCTCAGCCCCAGTCTAAGCACGTTGCCTGCTTTGGCTGCACCAAGTTCCCTGTCCCTGTATTCCCCCAAGGCGTCAGCTTGATGCCTGCGCCGGCGAATGTAGCCTGCCAACGCCTGCATATTGCTCCTTGCCCATTGGTAGCATTCCACGACCGCTGCCAAAGTATTACTAGTTAAATCAGAGCCACTCGTTCTGCGTTACTATTCTATATAATGAACACCTTGTCCTAAGGCTCCTACTTCAAATCTTCTTCCCATGCTCCTACAGACATCATGTTTCAAGCAACCCCTCAAACATATGCGCCTCATCATTCGCCATCCCCGCCAACGGACAATATGCTTGCGGTTCCTGAGTCTACCATCATGGTCACTGGCCGAAACGGAGAGTCGAAACCTCGGAAAATGAGAGCCTCATGTGACGCTTGCTCGCGTGCAAAGGTACACTCTCATGTTATATCCTCTCGCTGATACCGTCCACTGACGACGACAACAATAACAACAGGTCAAGTGTGATAAACTTAGGCCGATATGCCACCGCTGCAATAACATGAACATTTGCTGCAACTATTCTCCCTCCATGAGGTATGTCTATGAGAAATGACTACACATGCTGGGCGATTGACGTATCAACAGGTTAGGAAAGCCGCGGAAAAATAGGAATCCTGACGGAACTGTTATTCGCGATGTGTCCCCAGTCGGCTCTTGTGGGCTACCAGGGAAAAGGCCAGGCAAGATTGTGGGGACTAATGTTTCCACTGCCGAAAGCTCTCCCGAGCCAACGGACTCTTTCTACTTCTGCCCTGCCACTCCGGAGTTTCATTACCAGGATACTTTCATGAACAGTGGATTTAATGGCGGCCAGTCTCCAGAATACTCGGATGGCTCACTAATCAACGGTTGGTCGAAGGAAGAACAAGTGATACTGGGGGCGCCGACAGACATGTTCATTCCCACGCAGCAGTTTGTGACATCACAACCATCCTATGGCGGACACGTGCGGTCCGACAGTGTACAGAGTCACTCAGAGATATTTCCGCCCATGGAATCATTGCAACCACCATCCATTGATCCGGATCAGTTCCTTGGTATACAAGCACCAGTCCTCGCATCTCGAGATAAGATGATGCCATGTCCCTCTCCCATGGTCTGCGCACCACTCCCAACGCCTGCGTCTCCGCATGATTTCGTCAATGCTCCAATGCATGATTGCACCCAATATGCTCTTCAGACACTGAGCAGCTTATATGCGCCATTGGACATTCAGTCATCTGCTATGGATTTTGGCTGCCACCCTGATGGGCTGCGAACATGGACCGATATCTTTTCGGTCACCAAATCCGCCGTCGAATCGGTCCACAACTTACTTGCGTGTCCTTGCTCAACGAATCCTCACTATCCATCGACGTTATCACTTGCTATCCTGAAGATCCTGTCCATCTATCAAGCCATCACCGGAGTGGATGATCAGAACAACAGCCTTACAAAGAGTGCTCGAAGGGAGAACTACACCCATACTTCCAATCCTCTAGGCATCTCCATTGTCAGCCCTGCCGATGAAATGAATTTGCGCACAAACATGGTACTCTCGGAGCTCCGCAGGGTAGACAGACTCGTAGACAAGTTCAATGAGCGCTACTGCAAGACCGCCAATGTAGCAGAAAGTCAAATGGACAGCGGCATGTATTTTGCCTTGAAGACTGAGCTTCGCACTCGAGTTCGCGAAACATTCAAGATCATTATGCGGACGGCTCCCGAGGAGATCAAACGTCAGATGGCATTGCACAGTCAGAACCGTGCACGCGTCCATACTATGTAATACGTCGGCTGCCAACATTATTGATGACAACTTCAGGGTGGGTATCCTGTCCGATATTTGTGTGATGATAGGTGGTGCTGTCGCGAGCAACTTTCAAGACATCTGCAATGAACATTTAGATCTTGTACAACCTATTCGTCTGTGCCCATTCTTTTTGGCTAAAAACGTGTATATATTTTAGAAATTCGCCGCATAATTGATCTAGGCGTCAGAATTGTTTAGGATTAACGTCAACAATCAATGAGGATTGAGAGAGGACTCGTGGTGCCTGCAACACGATTCAAACACCAGCACAAAGCAATCTCTTCCCCACTAATCCATCTGGTCCCACTATCGCGAATTGCTTTCCTGATCCATAATGTTGAGCGTGCCAAAGTGATGTCCCAGATGGCCCCATACTGCATCCTCTTCCGAACAGCGCCGAACCCAAGGTACGCCTTGCTCTTGCATCTGCGCCAGTGGCGTCCGTCGTGCAGTCCCGCAAATCCTTCCCCACTACCGTACTCTACCCTACCCTACCGTACAGTACCTAGAACCTGGCCAACAGCGACAGTCGCAGCATCTGTCGCCGAAGAGTCGCAGACCCAGGTGCGCCATGGTTACCCGCCCAAACAATGAGCCAACCGATCGCTGAATCTGCCCCTTTCGGACCATTAGCCTTGCGAGCACGAGAAAGGCGTCCAAGGTCCCAGGATGAGTATATTAAACCCGTCGAACCACCCGTTGAAATCACCTGCCATCTGGGTCCCTTTTACCCGCCCACTTGGGTCGTCCAATTTAGAGCCAGGGCAGACTTGCGATTTGATTGATCAAGTTTTACGAAAAGTTTTTTGGGACAAGAGAAGAGAGACTTGGGGATCAGGTAGATAAGCGCTGGGGACCGGTGGGGGCGGAGAGAGGGTGGAGTCCTCCCTGGGCTGTGGTGCCTCGCGATGCCTCTGAAGATGTGTCTACTAAGGACTATCTGGAGGATGATGGGAAGAGGACGCGGCAGTTGCTGGCGTTTGTGGAGTTGGTCTTGCACGTGCATGTTGCTTTCGTGCTGTGGTGCTGCGGAGTTTCATTCCGCGACGGGCTAACGGAGCAATTACAAGTCACTACTATACGGTAGTACCATACTCTACGACGACCTCATCTCATCTGTCATCAAGATTGAATAGTATCAGTAGTCATCACCACCATCCACGAGCACTCCTATGCGCAAGACATGTACGATTGTCAGTGTTACCAACGTTGCTAGTAGCCACGTCTCTCGAATCGCAAATTCGTTGCAATGTTCCGTCATTCACAATCATCTGGCAACCCGATTGAGCCTTGAAAGCAGCAGCAAAGGGCGGGTGGCTATCAGCCACGCTGTAAGACAACGTCACATAGGACCGCCTAAGAAATGCGGCACCCAATAAGCAAGAGGGATAAACCACCTGCAAAAACGTTCATGGCATGATCTGACGGGTTCGGGGCCGTTTCCCGTCAGCAGGATCTGGCGGGTGGCTGAGACAAAGCGCACAAGTGCTGATCATCGACTCGAGTTCAGAGTCTCACTTAGGGACGAAGATGGCCAAGTTTTGTGTCTGAGAAGCTGGGCTGGCAGTACTATGGCGATACAAGAGCCTGCCCCACAGAAACATAGTGCGTGTAACGCGTCACGAGCCGCAATCCTCCACTTGCTTCAACGGCTCAAGCCCTCTGGCTTCTTGCGTAAGGCGACCGACTGCTGCCTACAATACCCCGGAAGAAGAGGCAGGCAAGTGCCAAGTGGAGTCTCGAATAGTGGGTATGTCACCCAAGCAGCTCCTGGGACATCTCATGGCCACTCTTTACTCTCTTCAACCAGCAGATCTACTGTAGACAACCCGGTCAGTCTTTGTCATGAAACAGCCTGTTATACCTGGTCCTTCATGAAGCCTCTCTTTTCGATCTTTGATAATCCAGCCTCCACAAATTCTCACGTGTTGACCCTAGTCCACCAGCTTACCGCTCTCACGCTGCACCGGCACCCCACTGCACTAGACATGGGTCTCGAGCACAAGGCTTTACCAGGACCTGATCCGAATCGGGACAGGGCCATCAGAATAGGGTATTTGGGCTGATGTGCTCTATACCCGAACCGACTGGGCAAGGCGCGGATGATGAGTCCTGATTGGATGAAATAGATTAAATTCCCATGTAGGCTGTGTGCTGTGTGACCACAGGATCGTGAATCCAATACTTACTTGCAGGCCATTGTTGTGACAGCGTGAAAGAGCTGCGCCAACCCGGTAATAGGATGAACATGGCTTACAAAGGGGACAGGGAATAGTGCATAGAATGGGAATCTAGCGAGGCTCCTCTGTCAATGATAGCACGAAACGAACATTTCCATCATCTCACTGCCGAATTATCCTACACCCTCTCCCAATACCTTAGGTCATCCATAACTCCGCACCGTTGCCGACACTGCCTCGCCTCGAAACGAAGCCCAGTCTAACCCGCTAACGAAAGGAACAGAGCAGCATCTTCTGACATGCATTACGAACTCACAGGACACGGATAATGATCAGAATTAGCAACCATTGCAAGTCCCCAGCGCACGAGCATCATACCACCGTTCGCAACATGTCCAACTCGTACAAGGGACACCGCACTTTCAGCCATGTGTCTGTCGTGCAGCTGTGACACCAAACCCGTTGGAACGGCTTCGTCTAGCCCATGGCGGGACGATTGCACATTGGTACTCAAAAACACATGTTGTAAGTCTCTTCATCATCAGAGTTTTGTCTTTCCTCACTGAATGGCTGGCCTCGAGCAGTGAAATTCACAGCAGTAGTAGCAAGAACCATCACCATGCCATCAACAACCCTCGTCATCAATATTTAGGCTCATGCTTGGAACTTGGCTAGGTAAACCCAAGGAATTTAGGTAATCATCCACAGCACACAGACTGAAGACTCGTGCATGTAGCCTTCCCACCCCCTTCCTCAAGAACTCTGAAACATCCTCCCAACACGTGAAAAGCGAACCCAGTGTCGTACAACCGCCAGTACCAGTGGCTGAATGGAAGTACACCAATGACGGACCGCTCAGCCCTGCTCATAGATGGACAGCGGCTACGGTTAAGGCTCCCTGTACCAGCCCGCAAGGCAGGACTTGCGGTCAAGGAATTCGCAGTTGTAAGTGGCTTGACTGCGTACCTATCATAGTTTGCTGCGTAGTAGACAACCCATGTTGCGCCATCCACGGCTAACCTCGAGCCATGGGATGGGGAGCTCGTGGGACCTGGGATGTTTGGCGCTCTACTGTTTGTGTAAGCATCTTTCCTGAGTTCTCTCGCTTGAGGCTGGATGGCAAGGTGTTGAGTTTGGACTCTGATTTGGGGGTTGGATGCAAGGGACGTGGATGGGAGATTTGCGACATCTCGTCCTACATGTGAAGGAACTTTTAAAGCAGTTGGAACTTGTCACTAAATACTTCATATTTACATCCTAATTGTAGACTTGTTCACACTGACATTCCATGACACCGCCTCCACTCCAAAAACGAGACAACCTTACTCGTGAAACACACTCCCCTGGAAAACTTTCCCCCCCGCCCCAATTCAAGGCTTCAAGCCCCTTCACCACACCAGACAAATCACTCACCCCTTCCAAAACTCTCCAGCCCCCGTGCATCTCCCACCGAAACATCCCCACATAAACACCACCCTCAAATCCAGCCCCCAGCCCCACCATCAGCCCGAAGAAACAAGATGCACACGCTCAAAGCGCCTCATACAGCGGCAAAAAAAACCCACAAGCTGACCACTACTCCAATCCAGCACCACACCAAACCACGCCTCCCCCCCACCCCAACACCTGAAACAGCGCGGGGTACCATGACCGCTTCAGCCCCAGACCTCGTGTGCAGTCGTACAGTTGGCACCGCACCGTAGTGCTGAGAAGACCTGCCCCCACCCCAGTTCGTCTGACAAGCTACAGTAGCCATGGCATGTGGTAGGTACTATAGGTACCCAGACGCCGGCTGCCGTATCCCCGATACGCGCACAATCTACCCGGCGAGGTTTTACCGGTGAAGAAGGAAAAATAGGCGTGGTGCAGGTTAGATGTGTTCGGGTGTTGGTTGGCTGGGTGGTGCGGGTTGGGATGCGTGGAGGGGGGATGACTGCAGGTGTGTGGTGTGTGTGTGTGTGTGGTGGAAGGGGGTTTTGAGTGGTTACGTGCAGGAGGGGTGCCGATGGGGGATGGGTTGGATGTGCATGGAAGGGTTTGGAAGGATTATGGAAGGGTGAGGAGATGGGTGTGTGAGTGATTGGGGGTTGGAGTTGGAGTAGGAGTGAGATGGGTGATATGTGGTTGTGTAGGATGGAATGCATGCTAGTACATGCAGTATGGAATCAATAGTTTTGTATTCACTTACTGCGTGGAATTACGCGGAAGTAGATATTTTACTCACAAGGTCGAGTTTGCTCGGTATCCCCATCGCCGCCACACATTTACAGGGAACACAAACACACACACATACAAGGCGGAAACTAAAATCCAAGCATAATATAACTAACTCCCATGCCCCACGTACCAAAGCACCCAAACTGCTCCATGAACCTACCAACGAATAATCCATACCAACAGCCTCCCAATACACACATCGACCCACGCGAACAATTGAACCGCTACAGATCCCCCACCTGCATAATTTCACGTGCACATGTTATGCGTCTCCCAACGACTCAAAGTATCTAATCAGTTTGATCACCGATAGGCACTGGTTGAATGAAGGAGGAGCGGTTACTATTGCAGGGTTACATGTAATAAAGTGAATACCATGTTGATACGTGGCTGTGAGCACCGAGTATGGTGTTAGAAGGATCCTGGGGGAACAGTTGGGTAGTACCTTGTGTATATGACATACCAGAAGTTATCAAATCTTCTTCAAGGGTATCATGGCATGCATTTGTCCATGTCAGCACCCTACCTTTAGGCTTTTCTGACCATGTATTCTTGAAAGAAAACAAGCCCTTTCTACAGGCTCAATGTACACAGTAAACTAGTTTAGCTAGTATACATATAAATTCTTTGGAGTTGTTACTACCGTCATCGCATGTACAAAGTCATCTGCAAATCAACTACCTCACACATAAGTATCACCCATACAATCACAGTACTGCAACAATCCCCCTCACCACACCCTAGCCGATTCACCAACAAAGGCGCCACTACACTATACCGCACCGTCCTATCCAACCCCTCCGCCAGTGCGAAAAAGCCCACAAAAAACACCCCCCACTCTAGTAATCTAGTGCATTAGATAGGCTTGTCAGATCTCGAGCCCTTGTTATATGGATGTTAGACAGGAAAGGGAAGATAGATTCTAAGTATATGTATCTAGTTATAAGATGAGATGGAAATTAAGCTTAACGTATCCACAGCTTTGAGCAAGAATGCTTGGGCTATCACCTCCTTTGCATCTAACACATCAATGCCTTGAGATTTCCAGCTGTAGGCCTTGTGATGAACCCATTATACATAGTCTAGTACTACCAGACAGCCGGTTTTCCGGGCTTGACGAAATTGGGCACTGCTCTTTGGCTCTCGTTCATTCGCACTGCAGACGGCATGTGTGGTGCACTCCGGACGCGGGGTTAAGGGTTAAGATGCGGGAGTGAGCGGCAGTGTAGGTGGACGGGAGATGTGGCGAGCGAGTCATGTATCTGAGAGGTGGTAGAGCATGGCAAGGCTTGGTTTTGCGGAGAGTGGGTGAGGGATACGGCGAGTTGGACGGAGGATTCGGGGGATTGGCTAGATGGGATAGTCGAGGAGGAGATATATCCGCATTGAAGATATTTAAAATGAAGACTAGACAGGCCAGCTCTGTCTCGACACGTGTATTTACCTCGGATGTCGAACAGAGTGGATGAGATTTCCAGGATCAAGAGTTTTCAGTCAGCCTGAACGAATTTACATCCGCTTGATAATAAAGACTTGATTCATTGTGCTAAATTAGAGACAGCCACCTCTACATCTACAACATCTCACTCACCACAACGTTCAATCTCTCATCTCAAATCGGCTCATCCCTTGGCTCAATCATAATCTCGTTCACCGCAACATGCTCCGGCTGCCTGAGCGCATACACAATGCTATCCGCCACATTCTCCGGATCCAGGACCTTTGCCCCGCTCGGCTCACCATACTTCTTCAACGCTTCCTGATCCGTACTCATGCCCAGCAAGTCGGTGGCTACGTTGCCTGGCTGCACGCTCGTCACCCGCAAACCCGATCCCGCTGTTTCGACGCGTAGGCTCTGCAGAGTAGCCTCGACGAAGAACTTTGACGCAGAATATACGCCAAGACCGGGGAAGACCTTGCGACCGGCGTCCGAGGAGATGGCGACGAGATGGCCCTTGCCGCGCTTAAGCATGGAGGGGACTACAGAAGAAATGACGTTCAAAAGACCCTTGCAGTTGACGTCGACAGTCTGGTTCCATTGATCGGTTTGCGTGTTGGCCATCATGGTGAAGTACATGACACCGGAAACCGAGACGAAGATGTCGATGGGACCCAGCTGCTTCTCCACTGTAGCGACTAGTGCTTCGACCTGTACTTTGTCGGTGATGTCAGTCTTCTGGGTGATGACCTTGCTTTCGCGAATCACTAGGCGCTTCTTGAGATCTTCAAGCGCATCGACTCGTCTAGCCGCAAGGGCGACATGGCAACCCTCACGGGCGAGTGCTGCAGCAGTAGCAGCACCGATACCAGACGATGCACCCATGACGACCACAACCTTGCCAAACAGTGGTCCTCTTCGGGGGAGCCTGGCGCAACCTCCGGCAGCATCCTGACGGGTTGGTGGTTTTGGTAGCCAACCTCGAGCATACCAATGGCGAGTGTAGGTCTCAAGGAGGACTTGATCCACCTTCGGGCGCTCGATAGCCAAGCGTAATGGTCTCGTCTTTGCATTATCTAGCACAACAACGTCCCTGAGAAATTCGATGCTAGGCATACCGCTTCGTAAAATGTCCACAGTGAATGCACCATCGCCACCCTTGGCAGAGCCTCGCTTGTCATCCCAGAGCGCAACCCACTTCTCAAACTCAAGTGGCTTAGTCGGATAGCCAAGAGCGTTAAGGTCCTCAAACACCTGGCTGATATCTACAGGATCGGGGTCACCAATATGGAAGATGGGTTGCTCGGTCTCGGTCTCGTTGCTAAGGTGAATGACGGCCTTGCTGACAAAGTCCACGGGGGTCATCTCGGCACGCCATCCATTGACCTCTGGGTAGTGACCTATCCTGATTGACTCGACGATCAAGGCTGTCAAAAGATCCCAAGCGTTAGCAGCACCTGTCTCGCTGTGGCCACTGATGGTGCCGATGCGATGTATCTTTATAGGCACTCCACGGCGACCAGCTTCTAGCGCGAGTTGTTCAGCAACCCACTTTGTCTGCCCATAGCCATCAGCAAGCTTGACAACGTCATCTACTTCAAGCATGGCATCTTCAGGCCATCCCTCGCGGCCTGGCTTTGGAAGCAAGACACCATTCGTGGAAATGTATTGGACAGTTGCACCACCCTGAGCGGCTAGACGAAGGATCTCTCGTGTACCACCAACGTTGGGCTTTTGCAGCGCAGCATAGGGGTATACCAGGTTGACAGTAGCTGCAGCGTGAAGAATGACATCAGTACGCTCGGCAAGCTCCTTGAAGGTGTCAGGTGGAAGGCCAAACCGTTTACGAGACAGGTTGCCCGGAAGAATTTCTACGCGCTCCATGATGTTGTCGCTCCAGAGGCCAAAGTCAAGCATATTCCTGCGGATTCTAGCAATACCAGCGGGGATATCGTCCTGTGATGAGTCTGCAAAACGGACCATGCAGAGAATCTGAGCGGAGGTGTTCTCCAAGAGATCTCGCAAAAGGAAAGCCCCAAGGAAACCAGTGACACCGGTGAGGAATACTGTTCTGGCATCCTTGATGGCACAAAATTTAGAAAATTGAGGATGGATATCCTTGTCTAGTACAGAGTCTGCGCGCAGCACAGCTGGCAGATTTTCTTGCACCTCGGCGGTATGACCGTCTCGAATGGCTCGGACGGTATCTAAGTGTCCATTGAGTGTTGCTGGGTTGGCCAGCCGTGCAACTGGTACTCTGAAACCAAACGTGTTCGACAAGCGTGCAGCTAGATCTGCAAGAAGTAGAGAATGACCGCCAAGGTCGAAGAAGTTGTATTCTGGGGTAATCGAGCTTGCGCTGACGCCGAGAATCGAAGCCCAGATCTCAGTGACCTGCTCGATGGTAATGGGACTCTGCTCGAATTTGCGCGCACTGCCGGTTGGCGAACTGGGCCTCGGCGGTGGCAGCGCTTTGAGGTTGACCTTACCAGAGACGTCGCTCGTGGGTAGTTCTTCAAGCTCGACCCATAGAGAAGGAATCATGTAATGCGCAAGATATGGTATCAGCATGCGCCGTGCAGTTGCACTGCGACCTGTCCGGTCAACCTCCACTACAGGACGTTCATCGGAGGAGTCCTTGTCACGGACGAAGTAAGCAACGAGTTGGCGATCGATACCCTCTCCCCAGGGAACAACAGCACATCGACTAGCAGCAAGATGGTTCACAATTGCGCTCTCGACCTTTCCAGGAACAACTGAATAACCACGTATCTTGATCATTGCTCCCACACGTCCAGTGATCTCGAGTAGGCCATTTGCGAGAAGTCTTGCCTTGTCGCCCGTTCTGTACATGCGAGCACCGACCTTCGAGATGTACGGATTTCGGACGAAAGCTTTCGCGGTAGTTTCTGGGCGGTTGAGATAGCCTCGGGCGAGTAAGTGCCCACCAACGAAGAGCTCGCCATTCTCCCCTTCTTCCACCTTTTGACCCGACTCATCGAGAATGTAAATGTGCTTGCGGTCAATGAGTGGGGGCCCCACTGAGCAGTAGATAGCACCTTGGTCAAGCTTCTCCAACATGTCCTTGATATCTCCACAGGCAATTTCATGGGTCTCGCATGCGCTATAGACGTTAAGTAGGCGAGTATTTGGAAGAGCTTTCAGGCCTCTTCGCGCGAGATCTGTTGTTACAACCTCTCCATTCAGCCAGATGGTCTTCAGGTCTGGTAATCGGGAACCCAGTGCTTGGTGGCGAGCCAGAACAGCGGCAAAGAGTGTAGGGGTAAAAAGTGTTTCGGTGATTTTCTTGGTCGCCAGTAAATCTACGAGCATTCGGGGATCATAACTCGCATCGTCTGGAACAACCACGACTGTAGCTCCGCGTAAGAGGGGACGAATGATCTCCCAGACAAAGAAGACATTGCACGCCACACGGTCGCCTGGTTGTAAATCCGACAGACCGAACCTGAGATTATAAGAAAGTACTGATGCTCTGTGTGGATTTGCAATGCCTTTGGGCTTTCCAGTGGTTCCACTTGAGTAGGCGACAAAAGCTAATTTGTCAAGGTCATCTTCCGAAGGTAGTGGTTGTTGTTTCTGCTCTTCTGTATGACCGTTTGTGGCTGTTTCTTGCTCATCTAAGACAACAAGTGCTGTCCCTGCCTTGATTTTCCCAACCTCAGCACTGATAGTAACCACAATTGCTGGTTGTGCATCTTCTAGAACGTCTGCAAGCAGATCTGGGGGATATGCCAATTCCAGCACCAGGAATGCGCCACCGGCTTGTAGAGCTGCCAGACAAGCAATCACATAGTTGGCGGAACGCGGCAGCAGTACCCCAACCAAGCTATCGCGTCCCACGCCATGACTTCGTAACCGGGCGGCAAGCGTCGAAACTTTGTCGTGAAGCTGCTGGTATGTATATGTCTCCTTGTCGTCTTCAAGAGCAATGAGATCTGGAGTGGCTTGGACCTGTTTTGTGAACAGTGCCGACAGATCTTTGGTCGTGTCGATGATGGACATCGTCAGGGCTTTGTTGAGATGCGGGGTTGATGGAGAGAGTGTTCACGGTCCACAGGAAATGGAAGTGTCTATTTAAGCAATTTCCCTCTTCATGGGAATCCCTGACTGATGGGATGGCAAAGCTAAACACAAGGATGCAGAAAATTCGATTGTTGGGAGTTGATGCTCTCGCTTATCTGCGAAGCCGTAGACGCGTCGTTGGCATGGTTGGTTGGCCCTGTCCTCAAAAGTTGTGCCGAGTTGCCCTTTGCCGATAACGTCATGGGCTAGCGCACTTTTGCATCTCCACAAACACCACTGATTCGAACAGACGACCGTCTGGTGTGGCCTCGGGAAGCTCTTGGACAGTCTAGTCTCCGGAGGATCGCTATGGGCCCAATCGGTTGGTCGCTGGTGTGGCGTTCACATTACTGTCATCAGTACAACCTTCTGCTCTTAGACTTAGCGGGGCACTGTCGTCTACTAGACGTCCAGGTTCGATGTCGAGTACCGGTATCGTTGCTTCTGGTATTAAAAGCTTCAGGTTTGCTTTTTGATCATCTTCTCTCGGTGGCATGATCGTTCTGGAGGAACAGCGTGGCAATACAAGCCTTTCTCCATGGGCCATGAAAGCCTGCCATGAAATCTTCGCTAGGCAATGTGACCAACTCCAGAGCTGTTTTTGGAACATTCTCAAGCTGAGTCCATGGAGCAACAAGAATCAGTTTTAGGGTATGGGAAACGAGCATGCTGCAAGTAACGCACGATCTGGCAGTTCCGATGGGACATGAGCATGTCAGCCATGATGTCGCTGAGTAAGGTGGGTGGGCTTGGAGACTTCATTCGTGTGACGAATAGTCAGAAAACCTCGCTAGCATGTTACAACAAAAAAACAAATACTGAATCTTGGCTCATGGCACATCTCTGTAATGTATCGCCAGGTGAGACAAGAAAGAAGAAAGAAAAGAGCGTGCGCCGCTCGCACGTTGCAGGTTGCGGGGAAGACGCATACATTAGTCAGCCACATGCGAAACCTTGTAGGCAGTTGTTGAATCGCTGTCGAATTGAACTTGGTTGCAAGAGCTTTGAATTCAAGCTAAAATCGGCCCCTGTCACATCAGACACAAACAGGTTGACAGTAGACAACGTACTTGGAATGCCCCCTTTTCCACCTACTTAGTTAACACACCATATATGACTTCACCATCACAGCTCAACCCTGCCACTTGGTCCTCCTCTGTCGAAACATAGACACCATACCAATAGGCAGCAGTCCAAAGTCAACAACATTCAAACCGCCAAACCTCTCTATCATCTCAGGGCCGTACATCTGTGCGATCCATTTCCAGTAGGCTTCCATTGTATGCCAAGATGACGTGATTCCGCGTAAATTGCTCTGACCTTGCAGCTGAGCTAGAGCTTGCTGAATCTGTACACTGAAAACGATTGGCTTCTCCGTGGGACACTCGAGTAGCTGGGTGAAGGTCTTGCGCAAGTTTCCCTTGCCATAAGCTCGGAACTCATCGCGGTACTTGACAAACTCATCAAAAGTGAAGAACTCATCGCCATCCTCGGGCTTCCAGTGTGGATCGTCCATGTAGTAACGCAGGCTACCCAGGTCACCCCTTTCAAATGCTTTACGGGCAGCATCGTAATCTTTGCGCTCTTTTCCCTCAAACTCATCGAGTAAGTCGTAAGGATTCTCCTTGATTGAATCGCGTACTTGGAGGAGATCGACAAAGGGAGATTTTAGATCCAGTCCCCCAAGCTCGACGGGAAAAAACAGAAAACCTTCGGGAATGGATTCGATTGAGAAACGCTCCTGGATCATCTTCTTGATCTGTTGCACCACGCTCCCGCCTGGGAAGATGGATTCCTGAATGTGGCGGTGTGTGGCGAGCATCTTATCAACATGCTCCCGGCCAAAACAGGTCGATGCTTTGCCAAAGTTGGAGCTGAAGAATGTAGCAGCATAGGAGTTCTAATGTTTCCGTCAGTCTAATCTTAAAAAGGGTCATACCCATGACCTACCCAGGCTTGAATATAGTCAATGACACTCTTTGACTTCCCTTCCAGCTGTTTACTAAGTTCCTCAATGTGTCCGTTAACCATTTTCTTGTCGATTTCGAACCGACCATTTTCGTCCAGATATAAGAAGCCCCATCTAATCTCCCCTTCAGGCAGTCTACTGTCAACTTTGACGTCGGGATCCTGAGAAATTCGTACACTACCAGTCTTCTTACCATCCAGCTACATGATGGGTTAGTGTAAGAGTCGTAGAGCAAATGCGATGGGGTATACTGACTTCAACTCCAGCAAGGTTCGCAAACTCCTCTATGCTTGCCCAAGCCTTCATGCACTTCTCGTAGTCTCTGCTCCAAAACCAAAGGTCGTCGTAGAGGCGATGAAGCAAGCCTCCATCAGTGGCTTGGTTAATCTTGTAGTCCAAGGAGAACATCACAACTTCGCCAAGTACGTCACTCAAGGAGTGTGATCCCGGTGCACCACGACGTCTCAGACGTGGTGGAGACTGATCATCAGCAAATTTGAGTGGTGCCTGAAGGAATTTGACAAAGAACTTCTGCCATTTTTCCGAGACCCCAAAGAAGTCGAGGACGGTACGAATGGTGTCGTGGGGAAGTACAGGGTTCCATGAATGAAAGACTGTTCGGAAACAAGTGAGCTCGCCATGTAGTCGCTTGTTGATGATGATTTCTGTTGCCACCAAATGAAGGAGATCCTGCTTAGCCTCCATGGGTCGCTTAAACTGCTGATGTATCCGGCCTTCATCGTCTTCATCTTCGTCATCTTCGCCGTCGTCGGCGCTATCTCTCTCAGGCTGAGCAGTTCGTCGACATGCTTTGGATGCCAATTGCATTCGCGGAGCCTTTCCACCAGTACTCATCCTTGCTGTTTGTCTTGATTGCGAAGATGACTGTGGTGCTTGCATAGCCATAGGAGCCCCCAAAGACGCCAATTGCATGCGGGCTCGAGGAGGCATGCTATGCAGCCTGACCCGCTTCTGGGTATTAGCAGTATAGTCACCATACTCAGCCTCCTCTTCGCCTTCTTGCATCTCAATTTGCTGATTCTCGTGGTCAAGCAATTGATGCGCAAAATAATGGTTACGATGGGTCTTGATCCGTGTATTCTCAAGGTTGTTATCAGTCGCCGTACCTTTCTCTCCAAGGAAATACTCGCGTCGCAGGCGATCGATCTTTGGGATAGTAGTGTGCGAGCTCCTCCAAGCACTATGATCGTGGATAGCTAAGAAACTTGACTTGAAGAAGACAGACCATTTATTACCAATGTAGTGCAGAAATATTGCCTGGAGAAGATCCGGATCGAAATGAATGGAGAAGTCTCCGTTAAGCTTCCTTCGCTGCTCAAGTGAAACGTATTCTCCCCATGTCCACCGGTCGAGAGCGACCATCCGTACGTTCAGGATATCAGCTATTTCTGCTAGAATGACATCATTACTCAAGAAGTCCTTGAGGGCTTCTCGCTTCTCGTTGGAAAGTAGGTCCGAATTTTGAAGTCCCGATATAGTCGAACGAAGGTTATAAACTGTGAATTGTGATGGCGTGGCAAGGCTGCTCTCGAATTCTTCGATCTTCTTGCGCAAATCTTGGATTGCTGCGGCGCCGTCCTTGTTTTCTGCGATGAAGACATTTTCAAGATAATTCTTGAATGCCGAGACATCCACTGTGGCAGCTTCGAAGACAGTTTTCTCCCACTCGTTGCGAGAAGCCAACCGCCTAGCGCCGGGTAGTTCCTCAAAGCTCTCGCCCATTTCCACATCCCCATCACTCATCTTTGTGGCCTTATCAGAAGAGAGCCACTCAGTTACAAGCTTTCCGTAAAGATCCGCGTAGGTGAATTTCGAGGACTGGACTTGAAGATACTGCAATAAAGTCTGCTCCCAGTCCAGCAGGATTTTAGAAGAGACCGAGGGGTCGAATCGCGCCTGTTCGAGAAAGCGGTCGAGATTTTGAATATCCGTCTCAAGACGTATATTACGTGTTCCACCAATTAGTACGCGCCCGAGACGACCTGTCTTTTCTTGACGTTTCTCTGTTTTCAGGCCAAGACAAGACTTTGTTCCGTCCACGAGTAGGTGCACGCATTTGAGTAGATCTTTCTCGGCATCAGCTGCTGCCAAAAGCGCAGCGTACTCCTCCTCGAAGGCAATACGCTGCTTCTTAAGCTCCTCTAGCTTAGTAGTGGTGATGGTCTGCAACGTCTCGGAAAATACACTGCCAGAGGAAGCAGTCATGATGTTGGCAATATGTTGACAGGCGTGAAGTGATGATATGAGGATGAAGTTACTATAGCTGCGCACCAAAGCGAAAATCAAGGTGGAAGTGTATTTTGTGTTACTGATTGAAGGAAGGATCAACTTTTTCAATTGCTGGAGGGCAGCAGTAGGCCTTATATACGACTCAGGACAGTGTTGCCTGCGCACGGACCAATAGGTACAACTAGTTAGGTATTAGCCGTGAGAGTTCACAGCCCCCAACAAAGTTGTTGATGTGATGTCGATTGAGATCTCAGTTATGTTTTCAAAGTAAGCCACCCGTTCACTTAGATCGACATAGGTCTTCTGCCTCATACAGGACATCAGATTGGCACTTACCCAAGCTCACCTGCAATGTGCTTTGCCTGATGATTCCATGTCGTGTAGGCGCCGGTAAGATGATATATATCTCGTGCTAGTATTTCCCTGTCAGTTGAAAAATCAATCGGCCAGTTAAAGCGAGAACGACTCGGAAAGCAAGACCAAGACTGGATAGCAGCTAGTGCCTTTTGGATGGCTCTCCTTTTACGGTGATGATCAAAAGTAGTCTGAGTCCTGACGGAAAACACAGTTCATACTTTTCCAAGCATACGTCCTTCACCCTGAAACAGGCTGCAGTACAAAAGTGGCCATGCTTCTCCCTGGTACTTGAGCATTCACGCTTGTCTTATCTTCGGTAAGCACAGCAGCATGCTCATCGCAATCGTGGTTATTGTCTGTGATCCACACATCCACCGAATCAATGGTGAAGCCATTAATGTTCACCGACACAGCCGCTGATGTCGTCCCACCCTGAATAATCTGAACAGCAACCTTGCCATCACGATTCTTAAAGGCGCTCACTTTGGCGCCAGATGGTCCACCACTCGTGGCAACCCTGACAGCACCGGGACGAACGTGGCGGCTCCAATTCGCAAAGGCCCAGAGACGTTTACTAGGAATGACTTGCTTCTTGTCGTCTGAGATGCGTATTAACTTGGAGTTTGTGGCACCGCCTTGCACGCCGATCCAGTAGAGGTAAGCAGAGGCGTTGGATTTGGTCACGGCATCGAAAATCTTGTTAGCCCAGACAAGGCCTTCTCCTGCTCCCCCGTTTGAATAGAATGCTGTTGCCCATGGTCCTTGGAGATCGGCATTTTCAGTTTGCCAAACGCGGTGAGGGGTATTGATGGGGCTACCCGGTTGAGAGGTGTAGGAACTGAAATGATCAGTGACTATCGCTAGATGATCATCCAAGGGGTAGATATTGCTTACTGTGCTGTGACTGTGCCAAGCATACTGCTGACACTGCTCAACCCGCTCATCATACCTTGTTGACTGCTCCAACCTTCCGCATCACAGCAGGTAATCTTGACATGAGTGAGGTTAGACTTGTCGAGCGTTGGTCTCAAGACTTTGATGAAATCTGCTGCCTGCTGCCCATTACTTCGCATACTTGCGTAACTTGTAGTTAGGTCCGGCTCATTCAGAAATCCGAGATGAGTAATGTCCAAACCAAGATCGTTGTAATAGGATATATATTGGACGAGGTAGTTCGCGTATGCTTCCTTCCAGTCGCCACTTGCACAATTTGCGCCAGAGAGCCCACAAAGTGATCCGCCATTCGCATCGTTGTTGTTTGTCTTCATGTAGCCGGGCGCTGACCAGGCATTTGCATACACGGTTGTGACGCCATATGTCTTGACCGCCTCAGTAGTCAGCCAGACCTGCGAATTGTCTCTGCCATCCCAGACATATTTGGGCGGAGCGCTTGGACTTCCTGGCGACTTTGGTTGGATGCTGACCATGTGATCGCTGGTTGAGTCTGGAGACGAGCCGATGCCATTCCTGAGTATCGAGAATCCGGCACCAGATGTACGATTGAACAAAAGGTCGAGTGCGTACTTTTGTAGTGGCTCCGAGAGAGCTTTCATTTGATTAGCACGTTGAAAGGTCTCGCTCATGCCGAACCCATCCATGGTTTGGTATGTCTTCACAAGGTCAACCGTTACCGTCGACGTTTGACGCTTGGTACCTGAGCTATGTGATAGAGCCCAGGCCGTAGTAGCAAACGTTGTTAGGTTAGCAAGCTTCATCGTGCCAGTATCAAGGTGTGCAAAGAAGAAGGAAGTCGTGCTCTCTTCTACTTGACAGTTATTGCCAAGATCCATGTGATTTAACTTACAGTGCTGATATCATATATCACTCCGGCACTTTACACGCCTATAATGGAACCTCATATGAGACATGGATTGAGACGACAACAGGCTCAGCAAACCAATGTGTGTCACCGGCATCGAGGGTTATGATGCTCCTTTGCTGATGATGTTGGTGATGCGCCATCGAGATTGTTAACCTACTGGCAGGGGCCGAGGAAGAGAGCCCCAAGCCAAGAGCCCTTTGCACCAGCGTATATATGGATTGTCAGTCTACGCATCCAAGACGGGATTCCCTAGGTGGATGTCGGTTTTCGGATCAAAGTTCAGGGCGAGCCCCATTACCGGTACCGACGCCAACCGCTACTTCTGTCGAGTATACAGTACATATACAACACCTACGGTACCTATACGGCCGGCCCTTTTTGATGACGACCCCCTCCTCCAGTGCAGCGCAGCACCTACCTACCTATCCGCTACCACATGGCTGGGCATGACATGAGTCAACTTCCCGTGTGCGCTCTGCGCGAATAGCGCTGAACCCAGACTGTTCGTGTCAGAAGTACAGTCTTAGTAAGCAGTGAGCCATGAGCTACGGTATAAGAAGATGCAGCTCCCAAGCATTCCACGAGAGTAGTCGTTGTGTAGGCGACAAGGGTTGTTTGCACGATTTCAGGCAAACGGTCGGCCGTCTGGTACTAGTCGAGGTTTCAGAAGGTGGTGCAAGCCGAAAGTGGGAGACTCTTTCGTGAGGGAATCTCTGAGGGTGCGAAGCGGCATAAGCTCGCACAATCGCGTCGCGTCGCACATGGCGAGGTTTGCTGCCCAACCAGGTGGGGATGGAAGGATGGATTATAGACTTGGAGTCACAGGATGTCAACAAAGATGACAGGAGACAGGAGACAGGAGACAGGAGACAGAAGACAGAAGACAGAAGTACTAGAAGCGATTGCATGACTGGCAGGTAGAAGTACTCTTATACTTGGAGTGTATGTGTGTACATCTACATGCGCCACAACGCCCTGTACTTTGTCGGTCTTTCTGTTGTTGCAGCCCCGCCTGGGTTCCGCCCCCCCTCCCCTCCCCTCCCCTCGTCCCCCCTCCACAGCTCTCGCGATTCCACAAACACCAAGGCGACGCTCGTCATAACCTTTTCCTCCACCGCCCCCTCCCACTCCCCTTCCCTCTCCATCTGCCCTCCTCTTCATCACTCACGCTGTCGCCGCCGCCCAATTCCCATCCACGACAGCCCATACAGTCAAGGTCAAACGCCACTTTTGACTCTTTCGGCCAGGCGTCGCTGCAGGACTAGGGAGAGCGTGTGGGGCGAGCCCGCTCAGCCACGGTGCAGTTCACCCGCTAAGTTTTGACGAGGGCATCACATCACGCCCACCACTCCGCTCGCCGCCGTTACTGTTGTTGCTGCTGTTGCCGCCCGTCGCAGCACATATACGGGCACACCAACGCGCGCACATACACACACAGCTTGCTTACCCCCGCCGACGACGACGCGCTGCTGGAGAGACTTCCCCCAAATACAGTGCGCCCCCATTGCACCACCACCACCACCACCACCATTATTGCTGCCTGCCTGCCTGTCTGCTTGGGCATCGACGCACCCTCACCCTCCCCTCATTAGCCAGAAACGCTTCCACGCCGCCGCTGCTGCCCCGATCGGCGAAGAAACCCTCGCTCGCCTTCTTTGCCGGCCTTGCTAGACGCCAGCCGCCATGGCGAGCGTCGACGAAACCGTTGCCAATGTGCAGCGCAAGATTGACCGTGAGAGGGCGCTGATCAACGCGGCAAACGCCATGCGCCAGTCAACCAACAATCCCGCCGTGCTTTCGCGCCTCGACGGGCAGATCAAAGACGGCCACAGAAACATCGAGTACTTCGAGTCCAAGTTGCGAGATCTCGACGTGCAAAGAACGTCGACGGGCATGGAGAACATGAGTCTGCAGCCCGGCAGTGGGGGATCGGGTGCACGGAAGCCCGTCAACAATCCCCTCACTCCTCCACCAAAGGACGGCTGGAGCAGCTACACGCAGCCAGACCAGGGCGGCTACGGTGGCCCACAGAGCCAGTATAGCAATCTCAGCGGGGGCGATGGCCTCATGCCACCTCGCGCACCCTATGCACCACCAGGGCCTGGCACCACAAACAAACGTCCCAATTACAGCAAACTAGGCAAGTCTCGTCCGCCCATCACTCGAGCAGATACTGACGTTTATGCATAGATCTCATTAAATATGATACCCCGCATCTCGGTCCCCGCATCCAGCTTATGCTGTCCCAGCTCGAATTTAAGCTTAGTGTTGAGAAACAATACAAGGATGGAATCGAGAAGATGGTGCGCCTTTATCAGATGGAAGGCGATCGCAAAAGCAAAACCGATGCAGAAGCCAAGCGCATCGAAAGTGCCCAGAAAATCCAATTGCTAAAACACTCCTTGAAGCGCTATGAGGACTTGCACGTGGACATCGAGGGCGAAGGTGGAGACGGTAAGCTTTGTTGGGATTCAGACTTGAATTTTCTATGCTGACCCTCATACAGATGACAGCCTGAACATCCCCAGTCAAAGGAAACCCCTGAGTGGCCATCTTTCTTTGCGCATCCACGCCGTGGCCGACGTCGACCATGCAGCCACTGGCCGCTTCAGTCGTGGGCCCGAAACTTTTGTCAACATCAAGGTCGAAGATGCAATCAAAGGCCGCACCAAACCGACGCGTAATGACCGCTGGATTGATGAGCAGCACGAGTTTGCCATCGACAAGGCGAATGAAATCGAAATCACAGTCTACGACAAGACAGGTGATCACCTACTGCCCATTGGAATGCTTTGGGTTCGCATCTCGGACATCGCCGAAGAGATGCGTCGCAAGAAGATTGAAACCGAACTTCAGAATTCTGGTTGGGTTGCTGCGGATAAGATGAGTGGAGCTGCTGCTGGCATCCAGCCTGATCTTCAATTCCAACCTCCTCCGGGTCAGAATCCAGCGGGCACTCCTGGAGCACCAGCTCCTGGAGGTGCGAGGCCCCAGGGTGGTCCACAGCCGCAGACTGGGCCGATCATGATTGATGACTGGTTCTCGCTCGAGCCAGTAGGCCGCATTCATTTGACCATGTCTTTTGCCAAGAACACAGGCAACAAGCAGCCATTCGACCTTGGACTTGGCCGAAAGGGTGCCGTTCGGCAGCGCAAAGAGGATGTGGTGGAGCAATATGGACACAAGTTCGTCCAGCAACAATTTTACAACGTCATGCGTTGTGCTCTTTGCGGCGAGTTCCTGAAGTATGCCGCTGGTATGCAGTGTTCCGACTGCAACTACACATGTCACAAGAAATGTTACCCCAAGGTAGTGACAAAGTGCATCACACAATCAAACGCCGAAACCGACCCGGACGAGGCCAAGCTCAACCACCGGATCCCTCATCGGTTCGAAAACTTCTCCAACATGGGAGCCAATTGGTGTTGTCACTGTGGTTATGTCCTACCACTCGGTCGCAAACAAACAAAGAAGTGTGCAGGTGTGTAACCAGTTGACATGCAGAAAAGTCTCAGCTAACATTGTCTTAGAATGTAATCTCACATGCCACGCACATTGCGTGCATTTTGTTCCCGACTTTTGTGGCATGTCCATGGAAGTAGCTAACCAAATCCTCATGGAGATCAAGAGGACACGAAGAGGACAATCTGCGTCGGGTCCAGGTGTGCCACCCATGGCTCAGCGAACACTGCGACCGCAGTCGGCCAAACCCCTGCCGCCAGCGCAATCCCAGTATCCTGCTCAACCAGGGCAAGAGCCGTCGCAGACCGACAGATACTCCTACGGCAAAGAACAGATGAGCCCACCGCCTGGTCCTCCGCGACAGCCTTCTTATGCTACATCAGCAGCCTCGGTCGATGCAGCGCGTGTCTCATACTCCACATCGAATTCCACCCCTACACCGACGTCTCCTACATCCTCAACCACTTCAAGGCCATCTTCAGGCGCACGAACGCAGTCTTCGGTGGCCGCCGCACAGGCTGCCATGAGTAAAACTACTCCTCCAGCGCCCGGGTATGGTCGAAGTAACACAGACTACCAGCCCCAGGGCAACAGAACTTCGGGCGGCAATTACCCTGCAGACCAACGAACTCCCCAACAACCACAGGCTCCTCAACAAGCCCCGTATGACCCTTCAGCTTACGCAAACATCCCAAGCTATCCACCAGCGCAGGCGCAGCAAGGAGGGATGCAATCGTATCCGCCAGGCAAGGGCTCATATGCTCTTCCACAGCCATCCCCACAAATGCAACAGCCGCATCAATCACCAATGTCACAGAAGCAGCCAGAGGCGATAGCACAAATACCTCCATCCAAGCAACTTCCTCCTGCAAACCCAGAAAACAAGGTCACCCCATCAGCCAACACACAGGGCTCTGGAAAGCGGATAGGTCTGGATCACTTCAACTTCTTAGCAGTGCTTGGTAAAGGTAATTTCGGAAAAGTCATGCTGGCAGAAACGAAGAGCACGAAACAATTATACGCCATCAAGGTATTGAAGAAGGAGTTCATCATTGAGAATGATGAAGTCGAGAGTACGCGCTCAGAAAAGCGAGTGTTTCTGATTGCCAACAAGGAACGGCATCCATTCTTGCTTAGTCTGCATGCGTGTTTCCAAACCGAGACTCGTGTGTACTTTGTCATGGAGTACATCAGTGGTGGTGATCTCATGTTGCACATTCAAAGAGGGCAATTTGGTACCAAACGGGCGCAGTAAGTTCAGGCTTTGAAGTTGTGCAATAATCATAAACTGACGCTCTTCAGGTTTTATGCAGCCGAAGTTTGCCTCGCACTCAAGTACTTCCATGAAAACGGTGTCATCTACCGAGATTTGAAGTTGGACAACATTCTACTAACTCTAGACGGGCACATCAAGATTGCTGATTACGGTCTATGTAAGGAGGAGATGTGGTATGGATCAACGACGAGCACCTTTTGTGGTACACCTGAGTTCATGGCACCAGAGGTAGGCGAAGTATCCTTTTGGACGTGAAACAGCTGCTGACACTTGCTCAGATTCTCCTGGACAAGAAATATGGTCGTGCCGTCGATTGGTGGGCATTCGGAGTTCTCATCTACCAGATGCTTCTGCAACAGTCACCCTTCCGCGGTGAAGACGAGGACGAGATTTACGACGCGATCCTAGCCGACGAGCCACTATACCCCATTCACATGCCTCGCGACTCCGTTTCCATTCTTCAAAAACTGCTGACACGCGAGCCTGAGATGCGTCTTGGATCTGGTCCCACTGATGCGCAAGAAATTATGTCTCACGCCTTTTTCCGCAACATCAACTGGGACGATATTTACCACAAGAGAGTGGCACCACCGTTTGTGCCCCAGATCAGCAGCCCCACGGATACGAGCAACTTTGATACAGAGTTCACGAGCGTAACGCCGGTCCTTACGCCCGTTCAATCCGTCCTTTCGCAAGCGATGCAGGAAGAATTCCGCGGATTCTCTTACTCGGCCGACTTTAATTAGATGACTGGATTCAATTCGAATTGCCTGAGTTTCGGGTTTGCAGAGCCTAGTCGGCCTGGTGTCGGGACTTTGGTTTCTCGACTGCCGGTCCCCGTGAGAGATGTGTGGTGGGCACGGAGGACCCGAGACATGCCTGGGGTTACACATGACTTGCACATCTCTACTGTTGTCTGATTCCGGCTCTGGCCCTTTACCATTGAGACTTTGTAATGCTTGTTTCTTGGCAGCGGGAAAAAGGAGCTGTCCGTGTGTTGGGGGAACGCTGGTATCTTGAGCAGGCTGTGGGGGGGTACGACTCTAGTAGTATAGGGATTCAGAGATTTTTCAAAAGGGGCTATGTTGGTGGTGGTGATGGTGGTGGTCCAGGTCGCGTGCAGGTATTGACTTGCTAATATGTGATATATAGGCTAGGTGAAACAAAGTTGTGTTAAACTTGATAACTGTTCTACATGTATGTTATTTGATTCCCGTTGTTGTGCGTTGTTGGCGATGTATAGATGTTTGTGTACATGGGCTTTTTGAAGGGGGGCTAGTTGTGAAGAAATGCCAGCGGCGACGGGATAGATGTACATGTGTGGCTGCTAGCGATCTTTATTTGCCAAGGGAAAGGCTAGGTATTTTAGGGGGAGATGCTGCTCTTTGTTTATTGTTTGGTTGCTGTTTGTTAGGTAGAGTTTAAGTTTACTGTTTACTGTTTACTGTTTACTGTTTACTGTTTACTGTTTACTGTTTACCATTTAATCCCACAACTACCCAAAAGTATCCAGCATCCTCGCATACAGCGAACCCAATCCCCACGACAGAAATTCCCTTCTAGGAAGAATTAATTACACAATGGCATTACTTCCACTTCCTCTTGACGCGTGCGGCCGTCAGTATGATTCTAATAACAGACATCACAAACCGCATCTAATGTATACCCTCATCTAATGTATACAACAGATCCCGCACATACTAACCTACAATCCAACTCCCTCACACTTGCCCTACTCTCCTCTCCCTATCCCTATCTCTATCCCCATCCCTATCCCTATCCTATCCTACCGTGCATATCCAATCCAAGTCTGAATACACTTTCCGCAAACCTGAAATACCGAACCTCGGTCCATTAACGCACGGGAGAGCTTCCCGGGTTATCGTATTTAGATGGATTTACAGCTAATGCTTGGGAATCTGGGATTGTGCGGTGGGATGCTCGATCATGGTGGTTCCGGGGGGATTGGGGGCATGGAGATGCTTGATTTATGGTGGTGGAGTATGGATTAGGGTTTATATTGTCTGGGATATAGTGTATTGATATTGATATTGTGTTGGTTGGGGTGTAGTGTTTGACATGTTGCAAGTAAAAGTTTGAGGTTTTGTTTCTTAAAGGTTGATATAAAAAAAATCTATCCGAGTCGGTTCAGTATAGACATGTCGATTTCTAGCTTGGGATTCGGTGCATCGGTGTAGCGATCATCATCGATGGGCCATGTAATCTACGATACCGCACTCATCCCACAACCAACCCAAACTACAGACACTAGAGATTCATCAGCGCCGACGGCAGAAAAGTTTGGACAAGAAATGTTTGTGCAAGTCCTTATCTGGTCAAACAGGTCCAGAATCTTAGCAGGTAAGCGAACAGACGTGGGGGGGCTTTGGACGTGCGACTTGGTCGCGTAGTGACATGTCCTCGTTCTACCTTCCTCTGTCGTACTGATGGTAGGTTTCCAGCGCTTACCTTAGGTAACGCGATGGCATCATCATCGGTGAATGCCACTGTACGTCTAGATCGAGTTCGGCACTCGATTCAATAACCAACATCACCTGCTCCATCGGGAACCCACAACGGCAGTCTCGTTGCATCACAGCGCAGTGGAAAAAAGTCGCCGTGTCGCTTGTCGCATAGGGGAGGTGTGTGCAGAGTCCGGACATAACCAGGACATGCAAATCAGATCGACGACCGGCTAGCACACCCAGACAGTCTGCCCTGTGCATCTCCCACCTGGTTCCCTCTGCTGCTGTATAGGTTTTGTGTACGGGACAAGTGCTACATAGTCAGCCGGGAAACGCAGGAATGAATCACCCGCATGCTATTGGAACATTCGGCCCTTTCATCGCGTGCAAGTCTTGAACTCTGCGACACCAAACAAGCAAACGATGTCATAGTGATCACACGTGCGTTCGGTACTCGCAGGGCTGCGCGACGCCAGGCGCGGCGGGCTCTGCGTGCCAGCCACTCGAGCCACATTTGGGGGGTAAGGATGGGCACGGCGGGACAGCAGGTTTCTTGCGTCAGAGAAATCAGACGAGATCGTCGCTGAACACACACGGGTTTGGAACAAGGTAGGTATGCGAGTATAGGTGTTACGGGGCGAAATGATTTTGCATCCTTGGGTATTTTGAGTCTTGGCATCGCGCGCTCGTATTGGGTCGTTTGAGGTTTGGGAAACGGGCCGGTTGTGGAGGAGGTGGGTATATGTAAGCTGTTCGTAGGATGCGAACTCGTTTATCCTGTCTCTTTGCTGTAGACAATCGTTTGTTGTAATTCCTGTTGATCCTTGGAATGTTAGACTGCATGAGTGATTGTGAGGCGTGGATCGTCGCCGTGTCTATTTTGAGAGCAAAAAGCAATAGATTGGCTGACAGATGCGCGAGTAAGTCTGTGGTTCCTGTTGATGATGTCGGATACGTCAATTGCCGAAAGGGTAAGAGTGTAAACACAGTAGTATACTATTATTCATCAGTGTAGATTCAGGGATGCTGACTCCTGCACGTGTTTGTGGTGAGCCAAGTGCAAATGTCAGCGTAATCTACACGTAACTGTACAGAGTAAGGCTTACAGCTACAACTGCAATTGACGTTGGGCGCGGCTATCCATTGGCCGGAAAGGCGTACGAGCCACACGAGGCGAGGGGGATTACCGTCCATGTAGACGTGAACATGTGCGTATACAGGGACGTGCAAGGTGGGCCCACAGTATCGTGGCTCACGCTGTTGATGCCACCAAAGACCCTGAGCTGATCGGAGTAGTTCCTGGGACAGGAAAGTGAGTGCGAGGAGATCTTCCTCCGGCGGTGATGTTGTTGTAGAAAAGGAGGTGCAATAGGCGTACGTCTACAAAGTGACCACATCTCCTGCCGTTCCGTCCCATGCACCGTACATAGGCCCACCGAGCATGCTGTTGCATCAACTCGAAACGTAGTCGGCTCCTCTGGCAGGGGTTTCCACAACTCGGACAAATCCGACCAGCGATGAGCAACGGTTGTTTTTAACAAAAGTTGCATAATGATGAAGAGCTGAGGACGCCGACTTTGTTGTTTTCCATGTGAAGATGGTAGTGCTGTGGTTGGTGGTAGTGGGGCGGAGGGGAACGGATAGGACGTTCACCGTCATCGGCGAGGGCTTTCTTGGCAACGGCTTGCTAACCACATGCGCGGGTTTAGCTGCCGGCCAAATCAGGAACAGCGACCAGAGCCCAATCGGGGGGCAAGTCTCGATTCTGGGGATCGTCGAGAAAGCAACAGATCTGGAAAGGTCGGGGACTCTGAGAGAGATGAATGTTTTGTTTTTGTCAGCCCCCTCCCCCCAGAGTAGTACTGCCGTGTAATAGATAGTACAATGTCCACCAAGGGTCGGCAGATATCGCCCAGGTTACTGCAAAGGGTCATCACAAGCTGGGGTATGAAGTGTACTTGGCGGCTTCTTTCCCCTTCCCCCCCTCTTCCTCCCCTGGCAGAAAGAGCGAGTCTTGGAAAGTATAAAGTCAAGAGCATCAAGGTGGTTTGTAACTGAAACCAGGTGTTCCCACCTGGATGCGTACCAAGATGGAAAACTCAGTCGGCCATATGATGGTGAAGATCCTGTTTGCCCCCCTCCCCCCATGTTGTGACGTAGTAGTGCAATATGCAAATGTGCAAAGGATCCCACTTCTTTCGGGTTATAGTGGAGAGGCGTCGCACAATGCCATGAGCGGTTCAAACGCGATTGTTGGTTTCCCATGACCGCAGAGATGCAGGGCCAGCGCGAACCCCTCGTTGAGACAGGTATCAGAGCTCATTGAGGATATCCAGGGTCGCCAGGGGGATCTCGATGCACTCGATTCACGAGGGTGAAGAAGGGGTCCTGTCCTGTGTGCTGTGCCGTTGCCGCGACAGGGGTCTGTGATTGGTCAGGAAGCGGGTTCCAGAAGGCAGGAGAGACGGGTCAGGATTGGTGGAAGACGGCGGGTTCGTGTGCATAACTTTGCCTGCACAAAGGGATTGTACTGTCTGTCGTACGGTAGTAGGAGTAAGACCGAGGGAGCAGACCCAAGAGGCAGCTGACTGCGAGCTTGGACAGGGGTGGGTCGAGGTACTCATGGCAAGGAAAAGTAAGATTGATCATCGTAGCGAGATAAGAAGGGGTCCTGCACTCGACGAGTACTCCTAGCTGTCTCTACTAGAGCCCATGTCCTCTAGTACTATGTAGGGCCTTGACCGGAGTGTGCATTGCCGGGGGCCTGTGTACCTAACGGACGTCCAGGCCTGGGACGGTGCGGTGCTTCTCAAAAAGGCCAGACTCCCCTATGCGATAACGCGTTTGTTCAAGAGCGACGACGAGGCCGCCATCGCAAACGGTACCCAGTTCTCAGTTTGTCCATGTCGAATGCGGTGACGAGAAGGCGTGGATGTGGTTAGGTAGGTCGAGGGTGGACGGTGGGAGTAGCAGAGAAGGGCATTGTGGTCAAACATGCTAGGGGAGAAATTGGGTTTGGAAGGAGGGCTGTCACTAAACGGGTGGTTGTCATTCATGATCACAGTTGGGCTTTCCTCGAAGTGCCTTGACGCCACAGGCACGCAGCGGGCAGGAGCGCTCTGGAGCGGGAGCCGACGGCCCATTGGCCACGGTGATCTTCCAATGGACCAGATGGTCGGAAGCCAGTTCAACGGGCACGGTAGAGTGGCTATATACGGTGCATGTACCTAGATACCTACTACTCTAGGTAGGCATGCTTTTGAAGTCTAGGATGCACGGATGGAAAATGGTATTGTAGGTAAGTATTCGGTGGTGCATCATCATCTACCAGCACCCGGTTCGCGAGCTGCCCTTTGCTGCATGGCACGAAGTTTGAGAAGCAAGCCATAGGACATCAGTGCGCACACTGGTGGTTGTGTTTGAGTGTATGAGCATGCAAAGTCTTTTACGTTGAAAGCATCAGCCACGACGGGCGTGTGTGCGATGATATTGGACCTACCTGTGTGGTTATGGACTGAAGGTAGGATTGGGGATGGTCTGCGAAAGGAAGACCAGCATGCATGGTTACTATGTCCAAGCACGATCCTCGACACGTGGTTCAGCGTGGTCGCTGTGGTGATGGGAGTGAGGATGGGAGATTGCTGTCCAGGTCCAGGTCCAGGTCGAGGTCTGAGCTGGTGGTGGTGGTGGTGGTGGTGGTAGTGGTGGTGGTAGTGGTTACTGGTCGTGGTCTGCATTGGGCAGCTAGTGGGCTCCGATAGACTTCGGGGTCCAGTGGCTTCCGCAATCCGTGCTTGTGTTTTCGCCGTGTTGTGCTAGGTACCGCGCTCTTAGCTGGGCTGAAAACCCAGGTCGAAGATCATGGCCTGCCAAATGCGGACTGGTGGCGGGAACGGGACCCTGCTGCTCAAGTGCTGGCCCCAAAATCAAGGGGCTCGTGACGTCAAAAGAAGAGAGGGACATGTACTACTCCATGTGCTCTACTGATAGCTGCTTAGAGTATGCCTAGTCTACATGTGTAGTATAAGCGCATAGGGTACGGGTACATGCTAGTTTCAAAATGGCGTTGGATGACCCGACGGTAGTAGAGGGAGGCGGCGGATAGGCCCTGCATACGACGACAACGGTGCTGGGGACGAGCGAACAAAAAAAAAAGAGATCGCGATGGCACTGGTAAAGAAAAGGGCCGGTGCAGGCAAAAAGGGCCGGGGGGGGGGAGGGTTTCGCAGGTGGGCAGGTGGGCAGGTGGGCAGATGGACAGATGGACAGATGGGCAGAGTGGCAGAGTAAAGGTACGGGTAGTAGCAGAACAGAGTGGTATAGGCGAGCCAGCTGTGTCGAAGCCGTGTCGATGGTGCTACAAAAGCCCGATGGAGCGCGGCAGTCTGTGCACATGGGCACGCGTGGGAGGTCGAGGCCCCCGGGGTGGGGCAAAGTCGCCGGACCAGCAAACTGAAAGCGAGAAAAAGTGGGCGGCGTCGTTTGCTCGCAGGCAGTTTGGCAAGAAAAAGTGGCTGAGGAGGGGTGGAAGGAAGAAGGACACTAGGTAGTAGCAGGGATGCTGGGAGTGGGGTGGTAGGAGTAAGAGGAGAAGGGCAAAGCAACGCAACGCAAAGCAAAGCAAAGTGGGAACATGCGGGCGTTGCAAGCATGACGTCGCCGTACAGGCCCCCACCCTTCGATCTCCCGCCGTTCTCACGATGGCACTGCCATATGAATGCGCGGCCCTAGCCGTATTGGGCAACCCGCAGCATCCACCCATGACTCCCCAGACCCTGATTTTGTATGACCTCAGACGCTGCTGGCCTGTGTGTGTGTGCTCTTCCTCTGTCTCTGTCTCTTGTCTCTGTCTCTGTCTCTGTCTTTCTCTTTCTCTCTCTCTGTCTCTGTCTTTCTCTTTCTCTCTCTCTGTCTCTGTCTTTCTCTTTCTCTCTCTCTCTCTCTGTCTTTCTCTTTCTCTCTCTCTCTCTCTCTCTCTCGCGTCTCGTCGGCTCACTACGCCGCCAGACATGCCCCGCCAAGCCCCGTTTCCATGCGCGGCGTTTGGCTCTGCGCGACCTCGAGTCTCCGGGGGCAGGAATGGCGGATGCTGTACTCTCCGGTGGTACTGACCTACAACTACTCTACTAGCCATGTACATACCGGTACAATACAGTAATACTATCATCTGTGGACCCTGGTTCTTCTGCACGTTGTGTGTGTGCCGTGTGACTGGCCGCCCCTCCTCTCCTCTTTGTCTCTCTCTCCGTGTCTGGCCTGGCTGGCTGGCTACATGGACCTATTTTGGTGATTCCCACCCCCATGTACCGGTACAGCACAGAGGGTACATACAATGGGTACGGTGCTATAGGCTGCCAGCCCAAATACCCCATCGCCATCTTGCTTACTACAGTGTCGCTGGTCCGTACTGTCTACCCGTGGCCCTAGTAGGAGTACGAGGACGTACAAGTATAGACTACCATAGTACTCCACCACGTATATCGACTGCCAAGCCGTACAGCGACGAACAGACTCAGGTGCGGCGAGCGGCTTCAGACCGGCCGGTGCAGTCTTTGGGCGCTGAGTTGGCAGCCCACCGTGTACTCTACGGTATGCTTCCATTGGCGCCTGAGAGTCGTGTGAACAAGTAAATTGTACCTGTTCCCTGATCGATCTCGATCTCCAAGTCATCGATCAATAGGCGGTATACCTCCGCCGTGCTGAATGGCCTTCAGTCGTCTGCCAACCGTGCACCCACCACCCACCCACCTGCACTTGACTTCCGCGTCCGTCCCCTATGAAGAGGAGCGGCCTTCTTTTGGCCTCGACGCCCTATTTCTCTCCCCCACCCCCCATCTCTGTGACTTCCTCTCCCTGTTGCGCCATGTCGTCTGAGTGCCGGGTGTCCACCGAGTCCGTCTGCCGCGCTGGGCCCCGCCCTCGGTCCCCTTCCAGCTGCTGCAGCCCTGGGCATGGGCCTTTGCGGGCCTTCGTCGCAAGCAGCCACTGATCGCCGGGGGCCCTGCCTGCATGCAAATAGCGCACTCCTGCCTGCCGCGCTAAACCCTTAGGGCCGAGCGGCAGCAGATGGGATTGTGCGCTGGGCCATGGATTTCTCGAAACCCTGGTCCTGGTGGACAACACCCTGGGCCGCCAGCCTAACGCCTCAAGCCGAGTCCCCTGCCTGTGCCTGCCCATTATAACCAGACACACTCCCCAGCCTGCTGCTGCGCGTTGCACACACACACGCACACACGCACACACACAGAGAAACACACACACACACACACACATACCCTCTCTCTCTCTCTCTCTCTACTCCATCTCTCCTCTCTCTCCTCCATCGCCCCCCAATCCATTGTGTCCCCCTTCCCCAAAGAAGCACATCTGCAAAGACAACATCATACTACATACACTTACTATCCTTTTCCTCCCCTTCACCCCCAGACGTTCCGCTGTGCAACTTGTCCTCCTGGCGTCTACCCTCGTCGTCTACTGTGACCCGTCCTCGCCCCTTGCTCTCTTGCACCTTGCGCTTCCTCATAATATAAAGTAGCCTCACCAAGCCAGCCAGTCGGCCAGCCAACCAGTCAACCAGTCAACCAGTCAGCCAGTCAGCCAGCCCGCTCTCTCACTCCACTTGCATCACTGCACGCACTGCTCTCCATTTGCGCCTTCGCACACTTGTTGTCGTGTTTGCGCATTTGCCCCCATCTGCGCATCTGGTCGCATTCCTCTCTCTGGCACGTGTTTGCAGCGCTCCAAAATGGACGCCTTGTCCGGCAAGAATTCGACAGGCCGCAGAGTGTCATTGCTAAACGACGGCCCGGCGCCTCCACCCCAACTTGTCCGACTACCCTCCATCACTCCTTCCCTCCAATCCAGGACTTCAAGCTACACCACCTCACCCATCGGCTCACCATTGACACCGCGCCTGGTTCGCAGCGACTCGTCCGAATCCACCAGCATGGCCACGCCGTCGCCCATTACTCCGGATTTCACTTTTGAACTGCCACCTGCCCAAGGCCTGCATTCACCCGTCTTCTCCCACAATGGCTTCTTCTCGCATCAAAAAGAGCTGGATTCTGCCTACCCGTCTATTCCCCAAGCCTCTGGTCCTCTTCCCTACCACTCTGGCAATGTCTCACAAACTGCCTATTTTCAGCAACAGCAACAACAACAGCAGCAGCAACAACAGCAGCAACAACAACAACAACAACAACAGCAGCAGCCACAGCCACAGCCACAACCACAACCACAGTCGCTCGACGAACAACAGGGCACAGCTTCCTCAGCTGGCCAACGCCCCAAGAAAAACAGTTATCCATGTCCCATGGCAAAGCAATTCGGCTGCAACGACTACTTCACCACTTCTGGTCACGCTGCCCGCCACGCCAAGAAGCACACGGGCAAGAAGGATGCCTACTGCCCAGAATGCAACAAGGCTTTTACCCGCAAGGACAATATGGAGCAGCATCGCCGCACGCACCAGAGCGGTCGCAACTCAGCCAAAGGCAGCGACCGAGAGGGCAAGAAGGCAAAGCCGTCGGCAAAGCGACCCAAGATCTCACCCATTCAACAAGACAACATCCCCTCTCTATCCCAGCTCTCCATGGTCGATCCTGCTCTTCCCCACAGTCCCATGGGAGCTTTCATGGCACCCGCCGTACAACCCTCGGACTCGTTTCTCGAGTTTCCATCGCGCAGTCAATACCCTGACCCCACGGCATACTCCATGACACATGGCTACAGCACTGGCTCCTATTCTGGCGGCCTAGATGCCCTCGCGGCGGCGGCCAGTGCGAGTGGAGAGAAGCGCAAGTTCGACTCATAAGCGTGGCGGCTCTGGACGCACCCTCCCCTAAACACATTATTTGCACGTTCCCGCAACCTGACTCTCGAATCGGGGGTTTTGTCGGCAAGAATAAGAAAAAAAAGCTTCTTGATTGCGAGATCGAGAGTACTCTCCTTTGTGCACCACACAACAGACGCATGCCGTCATGGCTACGATTAGGAAAAGGAGTTGTTTTCAAGAGCAGCGAAATTTTTCGCATGCCTGGGGTTTCACTTCTTCACTGTATAATTTTTTTATTGGTCGATTGACCGAGGCTCGATTGGATTTGGCATCATGACATGAGCGACAAGACTTTCTGTCTTGTTTGTTTACCACTGTGCTCTGGCCCTGGATCGCTTTCGATCAGGCCCGTGTATCGGTTGAATGGACATGTTGGGTTGCGAAGTGACGAGCACGGAAACGAGGCCTGCAGATGTATACCCGCCCTTAGACCAAGGTGCACAGCAATGTTTTTTGGTTTGTTTTCAGTTTATTTTAGTGTAGCAACGATGGGCGGCGGCAGGAAGAGCTGCAGGACGAAGGGAAGGGACGACCAAGGTGGTGTGTACTGTAGCGACCAAGTCGCAGCACGAGGAGACTACGAATGAAAACAATGTCTGGTCCGCCCCACGTTCGGCCCTCCTGCCTTTCTGTGACGTCTCCGTATTCGTGTCCGTCTCTCAGTCAGAGTCGGAGAGACAGAGAGAGAGAGCGAGCGAGCGAGAGGGCGCATTTTGGTTGATAATATCCGGTGTCCAGATCACGGCGCGGTTGACTAATACGGCCATGATGATGCTGGATCACTGGCAGTCGCCGGAACCAGCCAGGTAGACGGTCCCCACTTTTTCTTTTCTCGTGACTAGGCTCTGATTCCGCACCCAGCTTCCAGACAAGACCCCGCAGTTGTCGAGTCGACTAAGCCGTTCCCACTAACACAACAGCCATTGCTAACGACCCAATTGTTTGCCTGCGCCGTCTCTACGCTTTGGTCAACCGTGGTTTACACTCGCATCTAGCTAGCCAGGCCACTATTCTGACGCCCCCTTCGCCCCGCTGTGATGTGATGAGAAGTCGACCAAACTGCCCCTGAGACATGTGCACACACACACACATACACACACACACCCCCCACATGAGTACACCGTCAAACACACACGGTCGACCAAAACTGCAAGAGGCTGCATACAACCGACGTCGTTCAACGGGCCTTTGAGAACCTTCTTCAGGGCGTGTGTGGGTAGAGAGCGGCTAGGCAAAGATGGGCTGTCGTTGGAACCCCATCTCCGTACCGGTCGGTCTGCAGACCCTGCAGGCTTTTCGACCAAAACAGCTACACACGCTAAACCCGGGCCTGCAACGATCTGCCTCCATGTCGACCCTGGCCGTCGGGAGTCCCGGGATGGGGTGGAAAGTAATCCGATGCTGCTGATTGGCTGGTCCCCTCGAGCGCAAAGCCGAAGTCTAACGAGACAACAAGTTCCCGCACTGGGATGTTCCCTCTGTCCCCCTCATCCTCCATCACAACTCCATGAGAATTGTCAATGGGTTCGCCGTGAGGGCACGAATGGCATGCTGGCGATAGGGAGGGGCCCCCTTCTCTGCTACGCTGACCCTTCTCCCCCCCTCCCCTTCCCCTCCTTGAGCCGTTCGTTCATATCAAAGGTCGGCTGCTTGGGCTCGCCATACCTGCCTCTCAACAATTCATTCTTCCCGTCGTCCTAATCTAACACAGCCATCGGACATCAGCTCACTTTTCAAACTCTGTTTACCACTTGGGGCAGCCACCTTCCTGCTTCGACCAGATCAGCCATTTCCGAGAGCTCTCTAGTTTGCACATGCAAGGGGAAACCAGCGTAGACCCAACAAGCGTCTGGAGCGTGCGGTCACAGCATTCGCAACCACATGTGTCCTGGACCTGCTTCGCGCTCAACGTCGTGTATCCTCGCAACCCAAGTGGAACGCTGTCTTGTGCCGCTACTGTAGTCACCCTTCCGCGTCATCGCGGGAGCTACTCCTCGTGACAAAGACTAGAGGACGGTGCACCTTTTCGATGGCACTACAGCAAATACCTTGAACAATCCAAGGTCGTCCATGTTTCAAAGGCCAATAGATCAGCCAAGGCGGACGTGGTATCAATATTGCCTGCCTTTGACTATTGACCATTGGCGTTGATAGTAGCAAACCAATAGCTTGTTCAGTATAACATAGAGATTTTTTTCTTTGTCCATGACCAGGCCCTCCACTGCCGTCGCAACCCATACCTCCTTCTCCCCGAACCGAACTTTCCACTACTACCCCATCTTCGGCTTGCCCGCCGTGGAACAAGCCGCTATAGTAGTACTTAGCATCTTCATTGAAAACGCGATCTGACACGGGATGGGCTGTCATGTCGTGCCACCTCACGCTTATCTGCCTGCAGATCCTTGAAATAACCAAGGCGGCATCGGCGGGGGCTTGACGCGAGTTTTGCGGGGAAATCATCGGGACGCCTGTTCAAGGCTTTTAGGTACTGTACATTGGGGTTGCACTGAAGAAGGGGAAAAATTAGGTTTCAGGCCCCTGGCGGATACGGGGTCCACCGGTTCCCTGGGTTGCGGGTTTGGTGGTGGGAGAGGGAGGTGTGTTGGGTGCTTGGGTGAGGCTTCGAGGGTTGGGGGAGCTGGTTGTGGGATGTATGGAGAAGACGATGAGACTGATTGATGTAAATACTCCTACCAAACATTCAAACCACCCCAATCACAAAATAAACACACAACCCATACAACCCCAACCCTCGAGCCGCATCCCGCCCGCACCGAGGCACGCCCACCCGCCTTCGCTTCTTTTTTCCCCCAAAAAGCTTG